TCTGAATAGGCTTACTAGAAGGACAAAGGACTGGGGGTGAGGGATAATCAAACTTCTGCAGTCCTTCTCCACCCATTGTCATGGGTTGTTAGTGGAAGAACCTGGTCATTCCTTACATGGCGGCTGTGTCTGAAAATCTCAAAAGGATTTTTGGTAAACACCACAAACACACTAAGGCAGAGACTCACCCATCCAAAAGACCAGGCACCAAAACACAACAGGAACAATAAAATATATGCGGTCCTATGCAAAGAGGAGTGTTTGGACCTCTACATTGGAGAAACCAAACAGCCACTAAACAAGGAAATGGCCCAGCACAGGAGAGGCAGTGACTCAGGACCACAATCAGCAATGTTCCTTCATTTGAAGGACAAAGGAAACACATTTGATGACAAAGACATACAGTGGTGCCCCGCTAGACGCTTACCCCACATGACGTCAAAGTCGCTTAACGATAATTTTTTTGCGGTCGCTATTGTGATCGCAAAACGATAGTTCCAATGGGTTTTTTCGCATTGTATGTTAATTAGGAGCCTGCTTTGTGAATTTCGTTTGTTCGCTATACAATGGTTTTTTCAGTTCTGCAAAATGGCTTCCCTCCGCAAAATGGCTGCTTTCTGGACCTCTGCTTCAGTAGACAGCGATTTTTAACAGCTGATCAGCGATTCTCTGTGGGCAATCTTTGCTGGACGATAAGGTATTTCCCCATTGGAACACATTGACCGTTTTTCAATGCATTCCAATGTTATTTTTCCTGCTTGACGACGATTTCGCTTGACAGCGATTTTCCTGGAACGGATTATCGTCATCAAGCGGGGCACCACTGTATTCATTTTGGACCAAGAAGATAGGTGGTTTGAGAGAGGGGTCAGGAAGGCCATACATGTGCATATAGAAAATCCCTCACTCAACAGGGGCAGAGGCCTTAGACACTATCTGTCTCCTATTTATCATGCTGTCGTTTCATTCATCCCCAGAAAGATTAGAACCACACAGACCAGAATGACCACTCTGGAAGTTGAGTCATGGCAACTGGACTTTTTTGTTCGGCTGAAATGTTTCACTACTCATCCAAGCAGCTTCTTGAGTTGACTCAACAACTCCCCACTAATTCAATGGGCCTAGTCTAGTATCTACTAAGTATCTATCTGTAAATTGCCCAGAGACCTTTGAGTAGTGTGGTCAGCAAACCATACAATAAATGGTTTACACACCATGTAAATCCTGTTCATAAGATAAATAAATAAATAAATATTACTGTGAACAACAGGACTTCAGCCAATAAATTAACAAAGAAATGTAGAATCCAATACTGTACTGACTGATCCCAGAACCAACAAATAGAACTAAAATGGGCTAAAACATTTTATAAATTCATAACAGAATTGGGGAAGGTATGTCAGGGTTAGTGTCTGTCACAGACACAAGCTGCACAGAATGGTGAGACAGACTGAAGTTTGTGTTTGTGCAGAAGTTCAATGCAAAGCACAAGGCATGAAGCTTGTGAGGGAATGACACATTGAAATCAGAAAAGGAAGGAATCCCAGGAGAAAAGCTTAAAATGTGAGAAAGCAACTGATTCAGCTCCTTGAAACTGGCAAAATACTCTTATTAGGGTGTGTACAAATTAACAAATAATGTGGGGAATGTTCTGGGACTGGGATGGTCAAATTCATATTATTTTCCTTTGCCTACACACACACACACACAAAAAAAATTCATATTATTTTCCCTTGCCTACACACACACAAACATTGTACAAATCAGCCTGGAGTTCCCTTCTCCGCCTTAATTCGATTTTGTCCCCTCCGAACTGTGCTTCTGCTTTTTTTGTATTCTCATTGGTTCAACTTCAGGCAGTATGATTGCTTCAGGATATGTGGAGGGGTTTTTAGCTGATCTACTTGAAGCCAGTGAGAGAGGCAGGATAGTGGGGAAATTGGCTGCCATTTCAATTGTCTCCTCCCCAAACCTGGCACCTGAGTCTGCTTGTTTTCCTCTTTCCTTGGCATTCTATTTTTTTAAAATATCCTAGCATAAGGGCACCTAAGAGATAGAAGTTGGTGGGGGAGAGCAAGGGGTCAGCAAAGAGACAAAAGGAAATTGTGAATCAGCATTGTTTCCAGCTTGTTAAGGGGTAGCTCTGCTTTAACCATGCCTCTTGCACATTTGGGCTACTACAGCAAAGCAAGGCTATTTGCCAATTTCCTCTCTTTCCCCTGCGCTATATGGTCAGCTAAAGTGAATTCATCTGGGGAAAAACAACTATGTGACTTTACAGCTATTTTTTCCTGCTGTGTAGGTGCAACTTTCATGTCCAAATGCTACTTCGTAATGAAGAAATAATTAAAAAGAGAGGCACTGTAGTGCAGTAAATTAAGCACTGGACAAGGACTCAGGAGACCTGAGTTCAAGCCTCTACTTGGCCACGGAAATTCACTGGGGAATGTCAAAGCAAACCATACAACAAATGGTTTACACACCATGTAAATCCTGTTAAGGTCGCCATGTCAGAAGCAGCTTGATAGCAGATAACACCATGAGCAAAAACTGGTGTGCAAATAATTTACAGTATATGCATAATATCATATGCTTGGTAAAGTGCTACTGATAATTATTAGGGTATGTGGTAAATATATTCAATCTTTAAACATTATACCAGATTATTTAATCATATAGTTGGAGCAGACTGGTGTAGCTTTCCTTGTCCTGCACTTTTGATTATAGTAGCGAGAAAAGTAGCTTGTATTCTTGTGTTTATCATCCTTATTGAGTCAGACTACCAATTTTATATAAACGGTCTGAGTGGTCTTTTATAAAAGCAGTAAGATACACACTCGCCAGACGAGGGTGGGAGTGAGAAGGGGCGTTTTCCTCACCATTTCCCCTCACGCTCTTCCCACACGCGGGCACGAAGCAAGGGCTTTCTCTATTGTTGACAATGCCAAGAACGAAATTGTGAGAAGAACTCCTCAGAAGCCTGCCCTCATTCTGTTTTAATAAAAACTCCTCAGTGACAGAATGAATGCCTTCATTCTGTTTTAATAAAAACTCCTCAGTGCATTCCCACCAGAGCGCCAATTCACGTCTACCATTCAAATTGGAAGTCTCATTTTTTTCCCGCCCGAATTTGTTTTGAACGTGCACTGACCTATGAATGCCTGCTCACGTCTTCAACCAATAACAACAACGGGTTCCTTAGCCACGCCCAACACAAGTTGAGATTCAAAACAGGGCAGCGGGGAGCCCTGAGCTTCCGAGCAAGGACAGGAGCATCCCAGTTCCAGGGGTCCAACCCCACAACCCCTTGCCTTGAAGCTTCCGGTCTGTGCCCAATCCGAAAGGGACCCAGAAGTCGCCGCCGCCACTGCCTGCTGCTGCTGCTGTAGGGGTTCGAAGGGGCGGGATCAGAACCTCAGGGCGTTCGAAGGGGCGGGGTCAGACCCGGGTTGGCTGCTGGGTCGGTTAGAGTCGGTGTCAAAAAAAAGTCCTTGCTCGGTCCGGGTTTCTTGCGGTCATGGAGCTGATCGCGAGCAACCTTCAGGTGCTGCTGCAGGCGGCCGAGTACGTGGAGCGCCGAGAGAGAGGTACCTGCCGTCGGTTCTCGGGGGCGGGATGGCTGGAGGAGAGGGATCGGCCTCTCCGCGGTCGTCACCTCGAAGGCTGAACCGGTTCTCCAGCGAAAGGCGGATGGGTTGATGGATTAAGAAAGTGCGGTTTGGGGTGAGGTCTAGTTGGGAGCCTTAGATGGTGGTGGTGATGACGCTTTTCCTCTCAGAAGCTGAACATGGCTATGCTTCTCTTTCGCCTTACCGCGGGCAAAGCATCTCCCAGTCGCAGCGGAGGCGAAGGCCACGACATCCTCCTCGGAAGGCCTTAAAAGACCTCAGGTGAGAAGCCCTCCTCAATTTTGGGTCATTTTTTCCACTCGACTGTGAACTGATTGTGAATAAAGTAAGGCTTATTGGGGGGAAATGTTTCATTTTCTTCTAGGAGGCTCCCTTTTTAATTTTGACACCTTACTAGGGAAGTAGGGGAAGAGCACTCACATGGAACAAGCGCTAAATGGGAGTGTGGAAAAATAAGCCTCTGACAGGAAAACTGAAGACGATGTCGCTAAAAAAAGAAGTAGTGGCGAGTGACAATTCGTCAAAGCTGTCTTAAAGCACTCCTGTAAAATGAAAGGACTTTCAACAGAAATAAGGTCTTTGTATGTGACATAGGGTCATCTGTTAATTAATTTATTTTACTTCTCCATCCGAGATCAGAGTTTTTTATTTTATTTTATTTAAAATATTTTTACCCTTCCTCAGGCAGCTTACATCATCAAAAAAGGACAGCATTTCAAGCTCACAACAGTGAGTATACAAATATTAAAAAGGATAAAACCAACGCCACAATATTTGTACACTAGTTTTAACTGGGCAAAGGCACTCCTGGCTGTTGCTGAAACCTGGGCATCCAAGCTCAGGCAGAAATCCAGGAACACCTCCAGGCTGTGCCCCTGGGTTTTCCGATCTAGAGCAGAAACAGCTTCCTCAGATTTATATGGTAAGGAGAGACAGAGTTGGATGTCATCCGCGTATTGGTGACACCAAACCCAAAAAACTCTAGGCAACCTCTCCCAGCGCTTTCATGCAGATATTACCTAACACAGAGGAACCCTGAGGACCCTGCTTGCCAGCAGCCAGGGTGTTGAACAGGAATCCACCAGCACCACCTTTTGAGACCCACTGAAAGGTCCAGGAGCACCAAGAGGGCACCTTTTGAGTTCTCTTCTCCAGAAAGGGCTGGAGCCACTGTAAAACAGGGCCTCCAGAGAAATGGGCCAGAAGCCACTGAAAGGTCCAGGAGCACCAAGAGGGACACAATTCCCTTATACAGTTTCTGGTATAGCTTGTCCACCAAGGCAACCAAAGTAGTCTCCATCCCATAACCAAGCCTGAAGCCAAATTGAAATATATCTAGATAATCTGCCTTATCGAGGAACCTCTGGGGCTGAGGTGGTGGACTACGTTCTAGCACTGTACTCAAAAATGGTATATTAGATATTGGTAATTATTCAGTAATATGGTTTGGCTTTGTGATTTTAAACATCTTCCTTCTGCAAATAGATTAGAATTGGATACTTTGTGTTGCTCTTCTCTTTTCTTCTGCAGAATGCTTTCTACTTCAAAACATTGACCACAAGGCTTACGTAGTCAATACGCAGTTGGAGGCAGAACCCCAGTTGCAGAAAGCAATGTGCTAATAATCATATTTGTAAATCTCCCACAAGATTGTGCAAGAGATGAAGATGTGCATCTCCAACACTTAGGTCAGCAGTTTGGAAAATTTGTGAAACCGAGTTCTTCAAAACCAAATGTAGCGAAGAGGACTTTGACTGGTAGCAGTTGAGTTCTTATTACTGAGCTTCTTCACAGACTGTTTCCACTGAATAGAACGGATATCCTTTCCTAGCCCACTCTGCCTGCTTGCACATTCATGAAATGGCCAAGAAAGGTTTTGCTGAGACTGGATAGCACCTTACTGTGTCTTTGGTCCATTTGCAAAAAGTGACAAGTTTTAGAAATCTATATATGGCCCATCAATAATTTTCTTTTATGTGTTCTTTTTTCAGATCTGTACATAATGAGCTGGAGAAGCACAGGTAAACCTAGATGAAGGAAAGGCGGGGAAGACAGGATTCTTTTCTTGAGTTTTGCGAGAGGAAAAAGCTAATAGCACTGAATGTACACACTCTACAATCTGCTTTCTCTGTAAAATGAGGGATAATATTTATGAAAAAGGAAAAGCAATTGAAAGGAAAAGGTCTGTAGCTCTTTTTTGCTACGTCTTATGTAAGCAGTAAGCATGATAATGTATTGTCAGTCTTACACTACAGTACTACACATGTCAGCTAAGATGTAGATACCATTTCAACCCAAGATTTCCAGATATCCAGAGGATTTCAGCCTTAGAGATAAATTTTATTTTAAGGTCTCACAGTTCACATCCAGAGATGGAAAATTAATATGGAAGGTATGTACTGTAGGTGAGGCTGAGGGCTATTCATATTTGCTGAAAATAAATACCGCTTTCTTTCTTTCTGTCTGTCTGTCTTTCTGTCTTTCTTTCACTTGAAAGCATGGTGGACTCTGGGACTTACAGGGAGATGAAAATGATGGTGGTGCAGGCAGCCTACAGGCTGCACTTTGTCCACTCCTGTTATGAAGTGACAGATGATGGAGTCCAAGTGATTCAGCCCTTCTGCTCTTACTTTATGTATCTTCTTGTACTAGCCACTCCCTACATAAAGTAACCCTTTCTGATCTATATAGCTTGATTGTCCATATGCAGTCCTCATTATAGTTAAATTTAATTATTGGTGCTCAATTCTGCTCTAAAACCTAAAAATCAACTAGAAGAATTAAATGGGCCCCTGAATAAAAAAAAAAATAGTGTAACAGCAAGCATTGCTGCTTCAGTCATTCTGCTGTCAGTGTCCAGGCTCATCATGGTGCTGGGTGGGGGCAGGGAGTGGTAGATACATCTGTGTCTAGTCCCAGCCACCTTCTTGACTTTGGTTCTCCGTGGATGCTGATGGCTAGGCCTCAGTTCTGTCTCAGGGGTCTTTTTAAAAATATTGCTGAGCTTGAACCGGTAAGTGACAAATTCAATATTTTGACTACATCTACCAGCATAAAAATGCTTGAACTGGAAATAGAGGAGTATGATTCTGGAGTTCATGATGGCGATGATGATGTGAAGTCTGTAATCATCTCTTCTCTGCTTGTATTTGGAACTCAAACATTCTGCTTGTTACTCATTCTATTTTTCTCTGCTTCTGTAATTTTGCTGCTTTTAGCCATCCATTCATATCTATGTCTTTGTTGTCCCTAAGGGTGGGCATATAATTTTATGGGCAAAGTCTGTAAGTTTGTTGGCTTCTCCTTAGCACTTAAAGTTCATCAGCTAGGAGGATATGTGAGACCTGGCTTCTTTTGCTAGAAGAAACTTTGGAAAATATGTGCCCATATTATATGAGTCTGAAATTGCCTCAAGGGCTTATCCAAAAGACAACATCCGGTGGTGCTTTCTTCATTAAGCTCACATGGTGTTCTTGCTTTTCCTTGCATTTCTGGCAGGAGAGCCCAGCTACGGCAGTGCCTAGAACAGCTGAAGCAGCAAATCCCCATAAGCACAGACCAGGCACATTACACAACCTTGAATCTTCTGCACCAAGCCAGGCTCCACATGAAGGTGACACACACTGATTCTTACTGATAGCCATATTGGCTTGAACCTGCCTTGCTTGCTTGCTCTGTCTATTTCGCAAACTATAAAAGGCCTTACATTTCCATATTTTACTCATGGTTGTTGTTTTCTTTTCATCAGTCTTTGTCCTTTTAAACTTGGAATAGAGGGTGAAGAATGTATTTGTGTGAGATTCAAGAGATGCACTGACTGGGTCAAAACACCCTATCCTCCAGGGAAAGCAGAATGTCACCAGACCGAGTGGAAAGAGAACCTTTTGTAACCTTCATTTCTAGGCAAATATTTGTGTTGCTTTAGAGGGGGTGTAATTTCTGCTGCTGCAGGTGTCCTCTGAATCTGAATCCAGATGTTCTCAACTCCCCATTTCCTTAAGCTCCTATAAGCTTGACTAATGATTGGGGGGTTTTCATCAACAGCTGGAAGTTACGTTTCCCACCTTTAGTGAATATACTCGTCTACATCTGGAGGCCAGTGTGTTACACAACCTGGAGTGACACATCTTGCGCTTAATGTTGAGAACGGGCCTGCTCTACAAAAGGCCCTTTAAAGTCCAATGCCTCGTTTGCAACAGTAGCTGCTGGCATGCAAAAGTTTTTTACGCAGAGCATCCTAGTCATCCTGGACAGCTGTGATGATGTATAGTCTTGCCTCTAAAAAATGGCACGTTAAGGTAGCAACTGGGTAAGGAGCCAAAGATTTTGCTACAATTATTTGAGATTGCCTTTGATCCTTCCCACTCACAGAAACTGGAAGAACAGGAAAAGAGAGCTCGGAGACTGAAGGAGAGGCTACGCTGTGAACAGCAGAACCTGCGTCAGCGGCTGGAAGAGTTATTAGCTCATTTCAATACGGAGCGCCCGCGACCAGATAGCCTGGACTGTTCACAATTCTCCTCTGAGCGCTCAGACTCAGGTAAGGGTGCTATCCTACAACCAGGCTGCCCTTGCTATGGCTGGATGCTTTCTGATGCAGAACATCAGGCTATCACAAAAGCAATGAGAGCTGGCAGCTCAGTGCTAACATCTGCCTTCCCAAAAGGAGAATCATGTGGAATTCGGGACAGGTAATAATTAGTTGTTGTTTAGCATTCCCTTCTGGGGCTGTGCTGCTTGCCAAAGCTACACAGGATGGCTCTTCTAGGGGGCACAGTAGAAAAGCATAATGCCCAACGTCTGGCTCCACAGCCAGGTACCCAACACACTGAGTTATTTAGCAGAACCCCTGTTGAATATCAGAGGCTGGAAGAAATGGCCATGCTGGCTGGGATTCTGAGAATTATTGTTCAAAAGGGTCAAAAGCAAAGTGCGCTGCTTATATACTCCCCATATTGTTTAAAGCACTCTGGGCATGTTGGAATTGAATTATGCAGGCAACACATTGCTGTCTCCTGGTGAGCTGGGTATTCAATTTCCTGATCTCAGATGGACTCAACACTGTGAGCCGACTGCATGAGCCTGTCAGGATTGAAGTCGGGTTGTGAGCAGTCTTGACTGCAGCTTAACCACTATGCTATGAGGCTCCTCTTCCCTGTGTGTTTAGAAGTTAAATTCTATCTAGGTGTCTTGCAAGGTGAACACTTAAAGGAGCGTGCTTAGGCTCAATATCCCTGTCATCACATTCATCACAGTTTCAGCACCAAGTCTGAAAAGGTGAAGAGTCCCTCATGACTTGCGGGCTCCACACACACAAGCATAAAAATGTATGGCATGTGCAGCCTGCAAGGAAGCAGAACCATTTGTCTCTTCAGGCGTGGCTCTGAAAACGGTGAAAAAAAGAAATGGTAAGAGGATGCAAAGCATTCTCCTCAAAGCATGCTGTTCACAGCACTGAGTTGAATAAGGCATAGGGCTATACTGTGTTCTGCCTGGATGGAAAACTAGGGTAAGTTTTTTTGCCTCTTACAGAGGATGCTGAGGTGGATATAGAAGGCCTTCCATTCAGCAGCAATAAAGAGGATGGCACGGCTGACTTTAGCACAGAGCAGGAGCACAGCTATTCCAACGTCAGCAACTTCTGGATATGATGGACTGATGGTCTAATTAAAAGAACAGGTCTCATCCGGATTTCCAGCTTCATGCCAATATAAGCTGAACCTGACCTATGCAAGAAAGGAGAGGAGGATTCTCTGGCCCAGTGTCAGATATAACGCTAGACACCATGCCTTCAATCTTGGGATCAGAAAGACTTGCTACCAGAAACAGCGATGTACATGTTACTGAATGTGTATCACTAGTGGTAAGCAGGAGGGCGAATGAGGTCTTAAAGCACTTGGGTGGCATGCATTGACTTAAGACTACGCAGGGAGCTGCTGTTTCATTCCTCTCAGTGCACGTGGAGGAAAGCTTGCTACATATCTAATCTTTGCAAGGTGGAGCAGGTGGACTTATGCTCAACAGGCATGGACCTGTAAGGCCTAGAAGGACAGGCCACAGTAGATCACAACACCCAATTCTGGTAGTATAAGACATACACACTTAAAGTCTACAACATTGAAGAGTTTAAAATTATCATCTAGCAAAACAAGTAGTTCTTCCTCTCTTCCGCATGAAAACCAGTTCAGCTGCAGTGAACCTGAGTTTAAAGTGTCTGCTAGGCTTCAGGAGGGTCAGAATTGTGTGTGTGTGTATACTATGACAAAATTCACCTTATTCAGACAACCCAGATGCCCTGAACTAAATGCGGGTACCCTTTTATGACTGATCTGCCATGTACTCATCAGTATTTTAGTAAATACTTTTAATGGCTTGTATTGTACTGTATGTATCATACTTGTTTTCTCTCAATAATTCAAAAGCACAGAACAGTCTGCATTCTGTCATACAGAGGGCTCCATGTAGCATCAGAGATTGATGTAAACAGTATATTTATTTCGATTACAGTTCTGAAGATCAGTGCCTATTTGAGAAACAGACCCTGGGACAGTTAAAGTTGCAGTCTATTATTTTAATGATAATTACACCTTTTTAGAAAGAAGATGATCGTTTTGTACAGTTTCAATTAAAAAAAATCTAAAGAGATCCTGGTCAACTCTGCTTTTCAAGGGAACAGAAGTTTAGTTACAGATGACCTTCCAGTATTACTACAATGGATTGTAAAGCTGGCCTTCCAGCCCCCAGAGAAAGCTGTTTCTTCACACGTACTGTTGCTTTTTCTTAGTAGCTGCCTTGCTTGCCAGACCCTTTGCTTTCTCAGTAGCAGCCAAGGCAGTTTCCTTGGCTTTCTCAGTTGCCTCCTTTGCAGTTTCCACCAAGGTTTTAGAAGGTGCTTCACCTATAATAAATAAGAAAACAAAAAACTTGTAGGAGTGGGCCCCTTTAACAGGCGCCCCACCAAAATACATTTTACTGAATTCTAGTCGGCTCCTATGAGTTTGGACATCACTCTACAGGACATGTGGCTCTCATTCCAAATAGCTTAGAATCATTTTTCCCCAAGTTTCTAAGCCACATGTTCAATAGAGAAAAACTGTTAAGGAGCCTGAGTATCTGTCATAGCTGCTAACAACCTCTCACTTTACTACACACCACACTGTTCACCTGGGTCTTCAGTAACCAAAACAGAGGGGAGGGGGATTGTCTTCTCTCTCCCACCCCTTTGCTTTCACCCTTTCATTTGGAAAACAGCAGCTGCTGAAGAAAGCAGCACGACACTCTCTTGGGGCTTTCTTCGGGGGGGGGGGAGCTATAGCTACTGGCTACTTCTGTCAGGGTTCGCGACTCTTGTGGTACAGTGCCAGCATTTTTCCTACTACAGTACTGTATCAATAATGAACTAATTACATGTTGAAGAGTTAATCCTGACTTATGATGATCCTTTCCAGGCCTTCCTAGGCATCCAGTATTCAGAAATGGTTTACCACACCCTTCCCCCAGGATGATCTGGGACTGTATAGCTTGCCTAAGACCACGCAGGCTGGCTTTTCCGTTACAAGACATAGTACAGAATTTAACTCTCAGCCCACTGAGATACAGTAATAAGATGGCTACTCCACAGAGTAGCAGAAGGCACCTATTTCCATTTAAAACAAAACCTAGGAGAAATAACTTCCAACTGACACCTTATAAGCTGGACTTTTTCATTATGCTGGGAGACTGACCACTTTTATCTCATTGTTTAGTACTGATAGTTTATTGGCTGGTATCATTTCCTTAATTGCCATGAAAGAGATACTCACCCTGCATTTTGGCCAGCACATACTCAAACCCTTTGGTGGCCTTGGTCACGTTGCTCTTGAACCTGGCCAAGCCAAATTCCTAAAACAAGACCAAAGCAAGTGTGAGCTGAGGCAGAAGGGATGAACTTTTGAATATTCTCTATCTATTCACTGCCAGATGCTTAAAAAGAGATCAGTATTAAAGGATGCAGCCAGCAGTGCCATAATGTCCACTTCTTGGGAGACCAGCAGTCAGGCTACCAAGATCTGTAACTCCCTCACCTGAACAGCAAGGGAGACACCAAACAAATTGGAGGTGATCCAAGCTTCTCGCTTCACTTCTGTCCAGTTGCTGTTTTCTGGGTTCTCTCTGTAAACGCACCGCTCTTTTATCACCTGCAAAGGATAAAAGCAAATGACTATGATGATGAAGTGCCAAAGTGGCGCTTCGACTTTGTTCGTGGGTTGTCAAACTTGACTACAGTGGTGCCCCGCAAGACAATGTTAATTCGTTCTGTGAAAATCGCTGCTTTGTGAAAACATTGTCTTGTGAAATGCGCTTCCTCACTGGAATGCACTGAAATCCGTTTAATGCGTTCCAATGGGGAAAAATTGTGGTTTTGTGAAAATCGCCTATAGAGAAACCGTTTTGCAACGGTTTCTCTATAGAAACTGTAAAAATCACTGTTTTGCGAAAAACGGTCCAGAAAACACGCGTTTTGCGAGTTGCAGACCTAGCTGTAAAAATTGTCTTGCAAAAAATGGTCCCGAAAAAACCTGTCTTGCGAAGCACGGACCGAAACATCGTCCAGCGAAAATCACCCATAGGAAACACTGTTTTGCAAAGTGCTATAGTGATTGCTATAGCAGCCACGAAATTAAAAGACACCAGCTTCTTGGGAGGAAAGCAATGACAAACCTTGACAGCATCTTAAGAAGCAGAGACATCACCTTGCCAACAAAAGTCCGCATAGTCAAAGCTATGGTTTTCCCTGGAGTGATGTATGGAAGTGAGAGCTGGACCATAAAGAAAGCTGACCGCCGAAGAATTGATGCCTTTGAATTGTGGTGCTGGAGGAGGCTCTTGAGAATCCCATGGACTGCAAGGAGAACAAACCTATCAATTCTAAAGGAAATCAACCCTGAGTGCTCACTGGAAGGACAGATCCTGAAACTGAGGCTCCATTACTTTGGCCATCTCATGAGAAGAGAAGACTCCCTGGAAAAGACCCTGATGTTGGGAAAGTGTGATGGCAAGAGGAGAAGGGGACGACAGAAGATGAGATGGCCGGACAGTGTCTGCGAAGCAACCAACATGAATATGACACAACTCCGGGAGGCAGTAGAAGATAGGAGGGCCTGGCGTGCTCTGGTTCATGGGGTCACGAAGAGTCGGACACGACTAAACGATAGCAATTGCAAAAACTCATCGTCTAGCGAATAAACCGTTTTGTGAGGTAATCATCTAGTGGGGCACCACTGTACTCATGAAACACAAATCCCCCCCCCAGTGTCCCAAAAAACCACAAATCAATTTGTTGGTTCGTCGGGTCATTTTTTTAAAAAGTCAGCCCTGGGGCTATCATAAAAAATAAAAAGCTCTGGCCCCCACAGCCTTCCTATGCCATGCAGCATAGGAAGAGGGGGAAAGGGATCAAAGCGATCCCCCCAGCTCCACCTCCTTTGCAAAGACAGTGGGGCTGGGTGATGGGTTCCTTTGGGCTTTCCCCCTCTTTCTATGCCCGGCGGCGGCATAGGAGAGGGGAAAAGAGATCAAAGCAATCCCCCCAGCTCCACTGCCTTTGCAAAGGCAGTGGCGGTTGGGCGATGAATTGGATCGGGCTATCCCCCTCTTCCTAGCCCCAGTGGCATAGGAAGAGGGAGAAAGGGATCCCCTGGCTCCGGATCGCTTTGATCTCTTTCCCCCTCTTCCTACGCTGCTGAGGATAGAAAGTGAGAAAGCCCATTCCAAGCCATCACCCAGCCCGGGGTTAGGTTTTCCTTCTGGCAGGCTTTAGCAAGCCGCCCAAAGGGAAACCCCCTCTCTGCTTATGCCCCGAGGAACAGCAGATCTGCAGGGACAGAAGCAGATAGGGAACAAAGGGACAAATATTGAAGGGTTATATTCGTTGCTTCGTATTTGTCAGGGTCTCTTGACTCCAAGAATACAAAGCAACAAATATTTGACGAATCAGGGATATTCGTTGAATATCCCTGATTCATTTTGATATTCATCCTCATGTCTAATGATGACACCTTCAAACAAATAGGAACATAAGGTTTCTTAGAGTGGGGTCAGACTATAGATCTATTTGGTCCAGTACTATCAGTGCTACATAGAAGAGGCTCTCCAGAGCTTCAGAGTGGATTCTTTCCTAGCCCTGTCTGGAGACACTGGAGACTGAACCTGTGACATTCTGCACACCAAGCAGATGCTCTCCTCACAGAGGTATATGCCATCACCACAGCACCACGAACAAACCAATCTTGCCTGATTTTGGAGCAACGTCAGGCTTGGTCAGAACATGACTGGAAGACCACCGGAAATCTTCCGGCACAACTAAGAAAGCATCCTGCCTGGAGAGCTACTGCTGCCAGAGAGAGTTTGAATGCTGGGCTGAAGGGACTCATAGTCTGATTTAGGAGAAGGTACCACCCTCCGTTCTACTGCCATCCACTACTCTGGTGCTCACCATAAGACGTGCATGATTAATGTTCCAGGTAACTGTGGTCATGGTTCGGTTCTGGGGGTCCACAATGGAATCTTCTAGGATGTAGACAGAATGGGCAACATTACTTGGAAAGAAGTGCTCTGCCCAGCGGGGCATTCGGTTGGTCTTGGTGAGGAGCCGCCTGGAGAGCAGCTTCTGGTCTTCTGTAACCTCTCGGTGTAAAATATCTTCTGTCAGGACATGTTTGCTGGAAAGCAGAAAAGTGCATTTGAAACATTCATTCTATAGTGTAATGAGCCTCTTTTTGCAGCTGCAACCAAGTAGTTCAACTAAGTGTCTCTTAACCTGCAATCCAGACGCCCGGGAGGAAGCAGTGGACAGAGAACTGGAAAACATGTCGAGATGAACATGCTTTGCTTTCTACTTCAGAGACCTCACTAATATTTCCACTGTGAAAAGCAGCACTGGAAGTATGATCCGAGATGGGGCAGGGGAAAAGAAATGTCATTTTCCGGAGTTCATTCCAAATTTGCCTTACAAATTGTCCTGTTTTGAGATACTGCTTTTGCCAATATTTTGGTGACCCCTCACTACAGAGTCAACTACTTCCCCTTGAGCAGTACTGCCAGTGCCTAGGAGTGGTGCCTCATTGTTTTGACTCACTGCCCTTTATTGGGGCAACACAAATGTGCATGCATCTTTCTCTTGGGACAAGGTGTTTACCTTCAGTCATAATCCTGAGGCAAAGTACAAATGCAATAAAACAATGAAAAGGAAAAAAACAACACATAAAGGGGATAAAATACACATGAAGCATAAAATAAAACAGAATTTCAGTAAAAAGGTTTGGAAAACAAAAGAAATAAACTTTGCACAACACTTAAAAAGCAGTGAAGAAAATGCCAAGTAAGCCTCATGGAGAAGAGTGTACCACCACTGAGCATCCCTCAAGAGGAAAAAGCCCCTTTTCTGGTAGTCATTTATCTCTCTTCTCATCTGTGACTGAAATCTCATTGCCTCTTATCCTGCAGTGTATGCATGCACTCTACAATGCATTCACACTTGCTGCTCGGGCATGTCTAAATAAAAGGTAAAAAGCCAAATGTGCACATTAGCTTAACTAAGCTGCATAATATTGTATTTTACACACAGTTTGTCAAGGAGATTATTAACAAGAGATCATTGTACAAGACATTGCTGGTATCAACTTTAGAGCAGTCCACCCTCATTCTAGCACTGCACACTGTACAGCCTTTAACATACATTCAGACACTGGCTGTTTCCGTTAGCCAACTTAACTAATTCATAATAAAACTATGGCTGTATAAATGCATATTGCTCCAGCACAATGTCAGAAGAACCGTTCCTACACGTGTCATAACCTGCAATGAAATGGCTATAGGAACCTGCGATGATAAGAAAGGGCACTCTGCAGTTTGAAGAGTTATTTTCCAGAACAATCTTCGCATCTAGTTTCTGCACACTGGGCCCCTGGGACTGGTGGCTTCAGCATACCTAGCAGTGCAAGTAACAGATCTTCCATCTGTTATTCGGTCTACTCCATGCGTATAAGCTCCCTTCCCCCCCCCCCCGATTTCTACGACCGACACAGTCATAGCCATAAGACGCCACTCCCTCCCTCCAGTGGGTGAAAGGTCCATCCACGCTGACCTCCGCCAAGAGGGGTCAGAGGGATCATTTTCAGAGAAAGCACACCGCCCTCTTCCGAGATCAGGCCGTCGCAGCTTTGGCGATTTTAAACGCCTCAGATCTGGGCGGCCATCCACCCCAGGCTTGCTGGTTCAGGAAGCAACCGGGGACCGAAGTGGGCTGTTAAAAGCCACGCCTAGACACCACGTAGTCATCGCGACACTTCATGGGGAAGCCAGGGAGGAAAAAAACCCTTTTTTTAAAAAAAAGCGTTTCGTTCTGCGAGGCAAACTGCTGTCCAGGGTCCCGATCCCCGACATAAACACACACACACACACCCACCCAAGCAGTTCGAGGACAAGGACCCCCAACCCAACCCCTTGGGAAGAGGAAAGGGATGCCGCCGCCGCCGGGGCTCTTCCAGCCCCTCGGGCTCACCTGTACGGGTTCGGGTAGCGCTGCCAGAAGGCGGCGAAGACTTGGTCCCAGGGCCCCTTGAGGACGCTCAGGGTCAGGAAGTATTTCCCCATCAGCTCCGCTCCAGCCGCCGACCCTGCGGGAGACGGAGAGGAAGGAAGGAAGGAAGGGAGGAAGACGCGCCGCGGCTTGAAAGGCGCGGCGCTGGGTCTACGCCCCCGGGGGAGCCCTTGGCCCGGCCCAGCCGGACGGCCTTCAGGAGGGCGGCCAAAGCGAGGAGGGCAGGAGGCACCAGGCAGCCGCCGCCGCCGCCGCCGCCATGCGGGGACAGGGAAGCAACGACGACTTCCGCCCGAGCAGCAGTGACGAGGAGCTTCCTCTTCCCCCTCCTTCTTCTTTTGGCCTAAGCCCCTCCCCTCCCCACGGGACGCGCTTCCGGTCCCCGCTCCAATCCCCGCCCACTCCTCCCCCCCCCTCCGGAGAGAGCCCGGGAAGCTGCTCGGCCCCGCCACCAGCTCCGGGAAGGGGCTCCCCTGCCTGCCTGCCTGCCTGCTTCCTTCGACCCTCGGTCGGTGCCGGTGTCCGTAGGCCGTGTGCTCGCCAGCGGCAGGATGCGGCCGAGGTGAGTGCCGGTTCCTTTTTCCCTCTGAGAGTTTGGTTGGCTCAGGGCTCCGGCTTGGTAGCCCTGGAGGTGCCAGCCCGTCTCCGGGCGCCCCTGGGTAGCTGAGGCTCGCCGCCCCTTCGCCGATGCCCTGCCTGGCGGCTGCCTGAAAACTAAGGCTGAGCTCTGAGGCCACCTCCCTAAGAGTAAAGGAAGCGGGTCCTTAAGGGCCCGCCTTGCGATAGCCCGGCTGCTGCTGCTGCTGCAGCTGCAGGGGCTCAGCCTCACGTGCGGGCTCATGCCATCCCCGCGAGGCGGGCTGGACCTCCCGAAACGGTCACTCGCCCTGCCCGAGAGAGCGGCGCTAGCGCAGGGAGCACCGCCTGCTCCTGGGACCGCGACCGCCGAATTCGTGCTGCTGAAGAAACGCAGGGAACCGGTTCTCCTTTCCAGCAAGGGGCGCTTCGTTTGGGGTCACTCGTGCAAGACTCCCCCTCTGCCGCCAGCAGCGAGGGCACCCCCGGGGCCACTAACTTCCTGGAGGCTGTTCTGCTCTAGGTGGCACCAGGGGCCCCTCATGGGCGCAGGCAGGAGTTAGGGACTAGTACAAAAGAGAAAGTGGAAAACCCCTTCGGCAGGAGGGTCCCCTGGCCAGGTACAGTATTTGGCTCCTACCCGCTGTGGGGCTCTTAACCTGCAAAGAGGGGAGGTGGGGGAAGGGGGTGGTGGTGGTGATGGTGGGGTCTGTGTCTCTGCTGGTCCTTGGGGTCACTGCCCTTCCTCATTTTCTTGCCGCAGGTGAGTTTCGGCACTTGAGCTGCACAATCTCTTTGCCTTCCCCGGCTGCCTTGCTGAGGTGGAGAGGTTGAGGATCCCCCTGGAAGGGAGCTCTTGGTTGCAAGGGCAGGAGAATGAGCGGGCAGCGTGTGGATGCCAAAGTTGTGATGCTGGGCAAAGAATATGTGGGCAAGACCAGCTTGGTGGAGAGATATGTTCACAACCGCTTCCTGGTGGGACCTTACCAAAATGTGAGTATGGAGAGCTTTTCAAAAGACAGTTGAGTTCAGCACCCCATATCCCTCCTAACCCTGCCAGCTAAATCTTGTTTTGCTTCAGATTATGGGTTTTCAAAAACATACATTATGAAACGGGTGCAGGGTTATAAGTTAGTACAAAAGAGAATGTGAAATTACTTCAGTGGAAGGGGGCATACTGACTAAAAGAGGAAGGGATACTATTAAAATCTGCCATGGGTTTACGACAACTTTGCAAACAGAGTGAGCAAAGTTTCTAATCTGTGGAAGTATTTATTCATTCGCCTGCAGATACAGCCCCCTGTTAGTCATTTATGACACATGGCCTGAATGGGGGTGGTAATTTAACTCTTTTCTTGTTTAACAAAGGCATGTTGGAAATGCTAATTACCTGCCACCAGTGTCCAAAGGGCTAATAGAATAGTGTTTCATATCTAGCCTCTCCTTTTTTTCATATCTGACCTTTTGTTTTAGACAATAGGTGCTGCATTTGTGGCCAAAGTGATGTCAGTGGGAGGACGAACAGTAACCTTGGGAATCTGGGTAAGTCAGAGTTGAGGTGGAGGTTGTATCTACTCCGAGTAGTAAGCTGTCAGTAGCCAGAGACCTGAAAGTGCTTCTGTTGTAGCCCAGGACAAAGAACTGTGCTGTGTTGTAAACACTGTAGTGCTGAAAAGAAATCACTTTTGTGAGGAGAAATTTTGACTGCCTTAGCTCTAAACTTTTAACTCATGCTCCTGAAACATGCCCACACCAACAGTATGTATATTAAGTCCAACATCAAGGTTACATAGCGTAGACTCCTTGAAATGAACAGGACTAACTTAAACCCCTGGGATTTCAGTAGATTTCCTTTAGGTAGGATTGACCTTGGATTTAGCCTTTTGTTTTAATTCTTTATCTCTGGTTGGCTTGTTTTTGCATTCCCTGGAAGAGGGCTGTATGCAAAACTGTAGAATTGTTTGCTAGTTGGTACAAAATCTGACTTATTTTCCCATTGCTGTTCTCTAGGACACAGCGGGCTCGGAGAGATACGAGGCCATGAGCCGAATATATTACCGTGGTGCGAAAGCTGCCATTGTTTGTTATGGTAAGAGTCTGCTTGCAGGCAGAGGCAGATACGCAAGTAACCCTGGCCTACAGTTCCAGGGTAACATGTTCCTTCTGAGAGCCCATATTGACATGATAGGATTAGCTGATCTTCCTGACTCAGAGAAGACCAGAGAAGGCTAGCCTATTGCACGAACTATTGCTTTGAAGGATGTTTGCATGTCAACGCACAGGGGGCATTACTGGTGTTTGTGTTAGATGGAATTTATGGCTGTGTGAATAATCAGATTTCTCTATCAGTGGCTTTCTTTTGAGGGCTTCCTGTCTCTCAGCTGCTGCTACCTTTTCACCATGACAGGCTGCCCTCTAGGCAAGTGTGAGCCTTCGTCATACCAATGGCCACAGTTTCTAGTTGTGGACATGTGTTGAGCTGCTTGGGCAATAGCTCCTCAGAGGTTGATAACCCTTTGCTTCGTTTGCCCCGTGTCGCTTCTTTCAGTACTGCATGCACTGCTGGTGGTGGTACTTCCCTTCATCTGAAGGAGGTTGTTGGGTTTTTTTTGCCTCAGGACTGCTGCCAAATGGCAAAGACATTTTATTGCCTGAAAATAATAAAAAATTATGGTTAATGCCATCAAGTCAATTCTGACTTATGATGAACCTTTCCTGGGATTTTTTAGGTAAAGAGCACTCAGAAGTGGTTTACGATGAAGCAAAGCATGAATGGCAGTACGCAGTCAACACTTTAAAGTTCTCATGTTGCACCATTCAGACTTTCATCTCTCCCCCCCCCTTCCTATTTAGAGTGCCCCTTGGAGGAGGCAGTTCCATTCTGCTGCTTGGCTAAGGTCTAGCACTCTGGAAAAGCCAGAACAAAGGAGAACAGCTGCCGTCCTATAACATGACTGTGCTAACTGCACATGTAGTTCTGTTTCCTCTACTAGTGGGTTTTAAGATGACAGCTAAAATTGCTTAAGGGCAGTAGTTAATTCAGTACCACAGGAAAGTACCAAATTAGAAGGTGTGCACAAAAGAGTCTTCTGTGGTCATCAGTGGATAAAACTCCCAGTCTTTCTTTCCATAAACAACAAAATTGCATGCCGACAGTTACATTGGAATTGAGCTTTAATAGTAGTGAAACCTTCTCTCCCTGACTGGGTTTTACTGTGGCTTGATAGACTGGTTAGTTGTGGCTTGATAGTTGCACTGAACGCCTTTGAGAACCTGAGCAAAGGGAGCTGGGCAGTTCCCATTCATCAGGTCTTTAAGTGGAGTTTTGGAAGGAAGCTGTTTTGCTTTTGTTTTGCTTATTTTAATAAACTTACATGGAATACACCGAAAATGCCAGCAGCCTCGATAGGGGTTCAGTTATGAACCACTAAGGGGGAGAATAACCTTTTCTTGGTTGTCTTACTCTTGATGTACTCTTGACTACACAGAATGGATCTGCTTTATGTCTTTTGGGGAGGGATTTAGCCTTGACACTTACCCCACTTCCACAGATCTTACTGATAGCAGCAGTTTCCAGAGGGCAAAATTCTGGGTGAATGAGCTGCAGAACTTTGAGGAGGTAAGTCAGTCTTCCTTTCCAGACAGGGAAAAGGGGACGCTTGGCCTTTCTGGGAGAATAATAGGGCACTTGCTCTCATGGAGGAGTATGGCCCTATGCTGCATGAGAGATGTGTAGTCTCGATTGTGATGTGAGGCAACTGGGGTGATGGAGAAGAGTGTCAAGGTGTTTTGGTTAGTTAAACGTGTCTATTTCATTTGCATCCCATCCTTTGGAAAGGTCAAAGCAGCATATACGGATCTCCCAGCCAAGTACCTACCAGACTGAGGTGCTTTCTGACCATTCCTTGAGGTCCGTTGTGTATGCTCTGGTATTTTATTTTGGACGTGACAGGGCTTTATTTGAATAAAGGGTATTTTCAAAAGTGAATTTGTTTCAGCCACTACAAATTTTTAGTACCAGGTGAGGGCATATTTCACTTTTCCGGTACTCTTGATGTGAATTTGTTTCAGCCACTACAAGTTTTTGGTACCAGGTGAGGGCATATTTCACTTTTCCAGGCTCACTTTGTATGGAAGCAATTGCCTTGTTCTTTCTCCTCAGAACTGTCGGATCTATTTGTGTGGCACCAAGAGCGACTTGTTGGATGAGGACAGAAGACGACGGGAAATTGACTTCCATGATGCGCAGGATTATGCAGATGGTGTGTCTCCTTCTTCAATCATTATTAGGGCAACGGGAGGGGGGTTCGTAAGATGCACCATTGCTGGGATCTGTGGTGATTCCTCTCAGGAGCCATTTGTGAGCAGCTGGCTCCCTCTTCCATTTCCCAATTTCTACTGAGCTTAGCCTGTCCTTGAAGATGTGGCAGTGTTGTACCATTGGCTAGTGTGCCTCTTGGAAGCTGAACTGTGGAAGGGCCTGAGGATGAGAAGGAAAGATTAACATTTCTGAAAGCAGTGAAAGCATTGTGGGCAACCATCTACCTCTAGATCTTTAGAAAAGAGTTGTTTGTGGCAATATTTATATTGTGGCCTCACAGTGTCCGTGGCCTTCAGGAAGAGAAGGGGGAAGGAGCTGTCCACTTCCTCAGATTGGGCAAAGAGTATATTGAACACACTGAAATGGTGTGGGGAAGGTGTGATCCTCCAGATGTTGTAGGAGTGCTACTGCAACTCCTACACTTGTTACAGTTAGAGAAGGTTGTAGTTCCACAACATCTGAAGGACCACCCCTTCCCCACCTCTGCCGTGCAGCCAAGCACGATGTTCTGTAGGTGGGTGTCCTGCAGGAGCAGTGGTGTTATGTTACTGATACTTGGGGAGGAAATGTGTTACGTAATCAAACCTCCTTTCCCTTTGATGCACTGTAATTCCAGAGATCAGAGCCGATCTGTTTGAGACCTCCAGTAAAACTGGACAGAATGTGGGTGAGTAGCTTTTTCAGTATGGATTTGGGAGATCCAGGTTTAAGCCGCTGTTAAGCCGGGAGAAATCCCTGGATTACAGTACTTTAGACATGACCTTCCTCACAAGATAAAAGTGGGAGGAGAAAGTGTGAAGGAGGAGAGCATCTATGCCACTTCCAGGTCCTTACAGGAAAGAGAAATATTACTAGTGTATAAAGCACAACTAGCGTATTTGGACAATCACACTTTCCGTAGAATGAGTAGATGGCAGGGGTAACATGGATTATATTGCCTTTTCTATTTTCTTTGGCCATTCTCTTCATTATTTCCTCCCTTTTCCTAGCCCCTGCTTGCTGAGGAAAAGTAGTTTGCGTGTGGAGTCACTGCACCTTCTGACGAGCAAGGGCATCATTGGTTGAGTAGCTGCCTTGCCAGGAGAACCGCATTGAGTTCCATTCTGAGTGTTCTCCTTCAGGAATAAGCCCTGTTGGGGTCAGGAAGATAGGTGTAGTCAGCCAATAGACAAGTGGCTGGGTAGTTAGTTTGCAAATTATGTTCATAAAATTGCCTAATTTGGCTACAGTTTATGCAGGTAAACTGCAGGCTGTTTGTGTTGTGACTTTACTACCATCTTCTGAGTTCAGATCTGCTGAGGTGTTCCTACTGAAAACAGCAGCCGATGAGACATGAACTTAAAGGTGACTTCTTTTTTTTCTTTTTTTTTAAGATGAGCTCTTCCAGAAGGTGGCAGAGGATTATGTGCAGTTTGCTGCCTTTGAGATGACAGGTAAGCTTCTTTTATACATCCCATGCTTTTATTAAACAGGCTATATAAATGTACTTCTAGACTAGGATAGCTCCAGCATATTCCTTTGAATGAATGTGGGTCTTGGGGATATACTCTATGAATAAAGGGAATAACAGTCCCAGTGTTTGGTACAGAAGTGGGCAAGGGACAGCCCATGAACCTTGTTTCCAAATCTACTGGGTTGGAGTAGCATGAAAGTTTGGAACTATGGTCATCACACCTTGTGCCTATTCTGGATATCAAGACAAGGCGCAACCTGCAAAGTGTCTTAATGGAACCATAAGGATGATGATGCTACCAACCAGTACCACTGGCCTAATTTTTCTATGTATTGTGCTTTCAGAGGAGAAAGGACTTGATCTGAGCCAAAAGAACACCACTACCTACTTCTACAACTGTTGTCATCACTAAGTTCCTTCTTGTGTTTGCCAAAAGCAGTGCTCCATGTCGGGGTTTGTGCTCATGCTCTTTTGATGGTTCACTCCTTTTACCTGTTATTTGGAATGCCTTGCCCTTTGGACATAACTGAGCACCACTTGCTGGGATCTCCCCTTGGAAAGAGGGCTGGGGAGAGAATGCAGCAGCCCCAAGGCCTTTTCGTACATACTTGCTGCTTTGTTGACCGGAGACCAATGATGGCCTTGTGCTCCTGTTCGCTCTGGAGGCTGCCTCGGTGATTGAAGTGTGCCAGGAATTGCTGTTCTTCACAATAGGCTCTGTGCAAAACAGAGCCTGCGCTGGCTGCCTTTGATCCTGCCATTTTGAAGATGTCTCTGGATTCTTTGCTTATTATTTAATTGGCTTCTAGTAAGTTATGCAAATGTAAATAAAAGTGCTTTGTGGTCCTGTGTTGTCGCGGAACATGGTCAGGTGTGTGTGCTTGGTGAAGTGCAGACTGTCACCAGACTAACAGAAAAATCCTTGAAAAAAGATTTACTGTTGTAGTTATGGCTAAAAAGGTAGCAGTTTTGAGTCAGAAGGAAGTGCATGTATGCTTCTTATACAGTTCAAGATTATGCAAAGATTGACCACTGTCTTCCAAGAATCATGATTTCTATGTAAAGATTTGACAGCAACAAGAAAAGCTTTTCTTCTGGGAGAAAAGACAAGCATAAGGGGATTTCAGAAACAGGTTCCATTGTTTTTGTACTATCAAAATTCCTTTTAGTATGCTTAGCTGTACAAATAATTAATGAAATTTGCACTGATTATAATCAGGCTGGAAACATCTTGTAAGCAGATCCCCAGTGTATGTTAGAACTGACAGAAAACGTGTTGATTTATGCAAGGAAACACCATTGTTCTCTCTCTCAGAACTGCTGCTTGGGAAAAGATACTGGTGTAGTTTCAAACTCTTGCTCTGGCAATTGGACCTGTTATACTGTAGAAGCTGGGTTATGGAAAAGGTGGGCAAAATGCAGAGGCTATAGAACTAACGCTACCAGTAGGTTTGTCATTTCTGATTAAGAGGCAGGTTATTAGATCATGGTTTCCTTTACTGCTGTGGAGTCTCCGGATGTTATTGGGGCTGCAGCTCCGGATGTTATTGGGGCTAATCTGAGCTAGCACAGCCCATGGATTAAGGGAAGATGGCAGCTACAATCCAACAAGATGTGGTGGCCATGTTTCCCACCCTCTTTTACATGAGTAAATATAGTAGTGTTAGATCTCAAATGACATTGGAGTGTATGAAGCTGTTATGATTGCTCCAAGCAAAAAGTCTTTTCCAATATCTTCCATACCCTTGAGCTTTTTAAAAAAAAAATGATCTGAGAACATGACTGGATTTTTTAAACTGTTGTAATAAAAAGTCCAACTCTAATGATGCCTAACAGCTGCTTGGGTGTCTGGCTAGTCCAGTGGAAATTGGGTAAACGTAATGGATCTTCTTACCAAATTTTCCTTGATCAATTTGTGGCAATTTCTTTGTCACGTCTACCACCCTATAAGGCAGGGGCAAACCATCTGGGGCCCCCCAGGTCTTGCCTGACTACAACTTTCATCAGCACTGGCTAATGTAGCCTTAACAGGTAGAGGGTTACAAGCAATTCTCCCCACTCTAACATTGATTTATTATTTTTTCTAAATATATATATCCTTGCCAAACAATTATCACATGGCATTCTGGGGTAAAGGATGGACTCCTTAATTCTTCAACCATTATAGCTTTAATGGCTGTGATTATATAATTCTTTTTATAAACTGGTTAAGCATAATAGTCGGTATCTTATCAATGTGTAAAGCAGGCCCTGGTTGCACAACCAGACAAGCAACTGGCTGCACAGCCAATTTCACAAGTAGCAGTAGACTACTAGAACTCATAGAACAGGGGGAACACTTACACCATTGACGTTTGTTGTATCATGCAACAGGAATATGGTCAATGTGTTTTAGAAATAGTGCTCCTTTGTAACTTGGTGACAATGCATTTATTGAATGCTGTGATATCAAAGCCTGAAAACTGGAGCCACAGGTTTGTAATTACCAGAAATCCACACCTCACTTTGCATTCTGCAACAATCCTCTTAGCAGTGGGCTGACTGCCTTTTTTCTGGGGAGCAGACAGATCAAGAGAGAAAAGGATGGTGTGTTTTCTGTCTTTGATAAGAAACAAAGGAACATGTTTCAAAAACAGCAACTGATCAGTTTTTTCCAAGGCTGCCTATTATCAATGGACAAAGGGAAAACATAAAAGTTTATGCTCTGTCTACTAGCCGAATTGGGGGAGGATTTAGTGAAAAAGGAACTTGATTTCATTCTGCAGCGTACACATTTCATGAATTAATCACCTAATGGCAGCGTGCTAGAAATACAAAGACAAATTTCCAGCTACAGTATCATTCTTCCTACAGAAAACAAGTTTCACCATGCAACATTTGCTGCTCAGGTGATATATTCAATCTGTGAATGGAAAGTGGGCAAGTCCCCCACCACCACTGTCCACAGTAGGATTTGCTCCCCATCCCCCCCCAAAAAAAATCACAGATGAGCATTTCAGTGACAGACACAAGCAATGTTGACTCTTGTGCATCAGAAAAACCGAAGGAACTTTGAGTCCAATTCCTTGTGAATCAAAAGCCAGCATAACTTTAGGGAGCTTATATGGTTGAAGGCTGTTTCTAGCCTGTACTTCTATTGTGACCCCTGGATGCCCCATTCACTGGATGGCAAGGGCTGAATACCTGTATTGTCTACAACGGGCAGCCCACGCACGCTGTTCCTTGGCTTTTTACAGGAAAAATAATGGAACAGCCATACAATGTCTTTTAATGTGAGAATCAGAAGTCCTTAATCTCAGAGCATCCAGAAACAGCAGATATTGAAACATAAGTTCCCCAACTGATCAAGTAAGCAGTGTGAAAAACTGGCTCTTGATTTCATGGTTACATAAACTCGCATTTGCTAAGAGCAAGCCATAAACTTAGGCGTGGCGGCTTTGGACAAGTCAGCATTTTCCAGCTTCAATGAAGGCTTCCACGAGGAGCAACTGACCATTCCAATTAGCTTGCAATCCACCACCCATATTGTTGAAATATCTTCAGAATACCCACTTTTCAAAACTGACAGTGGAGTTCCAGTTTGGGGTTCCTCCTTCTGCTCCACCACATACAGGCAGACCCTGGAAGATGGTGGATTGTCTATGGAACCTGATGAACTTCCCCACCCCTGCTATGTGTGATTATTATGGCTTTGATGCCGCAGTTCAGAAAACATCTACACACGATCCAGTGAAGACAAACAGGGATCCAGCATGCGTCTTCCATGGATAGAAGGGCTCTGTCAACTCAATTTGGGGGGCAGGTGGGGGTCCCTATTTCCCAAGCCCATTCAGCAAGGTCTTCCCACCCTTTGGCAACAGGAGGCTGGATGGGAAGAATCAGGCAAGGAATTCTGCTTCTGCCTACCAGGCGCACATACCTGAACCTGGATCCTAATCATCAAATTCAAAGAAATTGCTTCCCCTCCTTTTCTTTCAACAATATCTCTTATACTAACTTCTAGAACTTTCCATTTATTTCTGGGCTTAAAGCTAGAACTTGACCTGCTCAGCCTCAATGAGACACTAGACACAGTAAAGAGTAAAGTTAGACTTTACTTTACAGTAATTACTTTCTTTTATATACAAAGAATTACAGTACATATTCTGGAAACACCTTGGGTAGGGCAACCCTGACCCCATTACCATAAGTTTCACATACACAGTCAAATGGGTGAAAGGAACAAAATGAAAGTAATCCATGATCCAAACTCTTCCTCTTCTTCCAACGTAGGTATTGTAAACATTCCCCTTGCTGCTAATACCAGTACATGCTCTGTTGCCTTCCTTTCTCGTTATCCATGCAGATACACAGCCATTAGGCACTGGAGAGTCACTGCAGAACAGGGATTTGTCTAGGCCTTCTCTTGCAACAGCTCTGCTCAGTCACAACTCCCACTGAGGCCCTCTCCAGAGTCAGCAACCAGCATGCCTGAGAAGGATGAAGCAATACAGATTGCTTGGAGAAACACAGTCTTCCCCTCCAGCTCATGTTAGCATGGAGCAATGTTAATTTACCTCACTTGCTCCCTCTCTCTTTCCTTCTCGGTTTATGTTGCTCCTCCTCTAAAGGATTGGGGAGAGCCCTCTTGGGTAAGGGCTTGTGAATATATATATACACACACACACACACATTGGGGGGAGATTGCTAAACCTTTACAAAACCGTTTCTCTCCAAAACATGACAGACATGACAAATTTAAAAGCACCACACTGTATGGTATATTGTTAAAATGTGGTCAATACAGACATCGTTCTCCTGCTGCTTCAGGGGCTTCTTCCTTTTTTTGCTTACAACAGGAGCAAGGCTGGCCCAATATGCTTTGCTGCCTGAGACAGAGCAGCGGCTTGTGCCCCACACCCCTCCAGCCAACATATGTCACACCCACAGCCAGACAAATTGTTTTGACACATGAAGCAGAAACTCTTGGTCAGCAGTTCTCTCCCTCCCTGGTCGCAAATAACTAACCATTTTCATGTCACCCTCAAGTCTGCTTACCAGAGGCAGCAACCTCACTTGACCCAAAGGGATGCAGATCGAGCAATGGCCAAGAGAACCAAGAAGAAAGGAAATGTTCTTCCCGCACATGGTATCTGAGTAGTAACAGCCAGCGGAGCAGGCAGGAGTGCTGGCTCCCACTTCCTAAGAACTCCAGGCATTTTCAAGATGCTGCTGCACGGAAGTACAAAACTTATGTGTCACTACACAGAGACCACAAAGAGAAACAGCTGTTGAGGTATGTCTGTGTGAGAGCACACACTTGCAAAACACCATGTTAGCAGTGAGAGCATCCCTACCTTCTGATAATGGGAAGGGTTGGGAGCTTAGGAGGCAAATATTTGTGCACTATTATAAATATAATTTCTGTTTTTACTATTCCTGCATGGGTAGTTGTAGGAAAGTTGCTCTGCAGGAAAGCGTGTCTTGAGAAGCATCTCCAAAGTGTCTTCTCCGAGACCATCAACCAGGCAATATCCAATGCAATGTTTGCCAAAATGTCACCTTCTATGTCCTGCATGGCCAGCATGCTGCTTCCCACAGACAGAACTGTCTATGACTCTCAACACAATGGTAACAAATTCCTGATATTAATATAATGGTGTAAGTTTGTCAGTGGCTGTATCTGGGGGAAAAGGCTGTATCTGCCTTAGGACAAAAACTGGTGGTCAAGGAATTTTAGCCATTGTCCAAATTTCCACCTTGGCTTCTCCTTCAAAATGCATGCTACAGTCAAATAGACTGCAGACTAGTCTCATCACCCATAAAGTAAGGGAGAACGTGATGCATTCCAGAGAAGAACCACTGCTGGTGCAGTGAGCAGCACATTACTGAATTACACTGGCAGGCAGGCTCCAGATACTTTGGTAAAAACAGAACTACGTACTTTGAATCTATTGCCCCCTTGTTTCACGGTAAAAACAGAACTACGTACTGTACTTTGAATCTATTGCCCCCTTGTTTCAGCCAACACTGTTCAGACCCCAATCCTCACACTGGGAAAGAGAAGCAGCACTGCAAGATTTAAGATTAAACCTAAACTAACTGAAGTGACAGAGAGCGATAAGAGCACCACATTTTATCTTTTATATGTTGGAATGCCCCAGATACCTCAACATGTAAAAATTAAGACATCTTTATTTTTTAACACATTTTATCTGATCTAGACACCTACAGGCTTTCTAATCACAGATCATCTCTTTTTCAAACTCAGGGAAGAAATCTACTGAAGGGAGAAGCAGGAACACAACCTGGGATGCTCTCCAGAGCGACTTGCACAATTCTGCATAACAACTGGTACTGCAGTCTCTTAACATGGAAAAAAAAATTGAATTACAGCTTCAGCTTTAAAAAAGGGGAAGGCTTTTTATCACCTTTGTTACAAACAATTCACTGCCCAACGATCAAGACTTCAAGGAGAACGCCCTTACTCTGCCATAGCCATTCTGTGAGCATCCTGAGCAAGACTGGAATCTGTTAATGGGTATAGCATTCAGTACACTGCACTTCTCAGCTTCCATTTAAAACAAACACACATATTCCAATGAATGTTGCAGAAAGAAGGGACAATTCCTGATTGGATTTAAGCAGTCTGGAAGAATAGCTGCTAGGCTAAATTTGCAATAGTTGCTAGTTTCTTTCCCTTCCCATTATTTATATAAGCTAGAACAAGTAGGACATGTATGTGTGGATAGATTTGCTTAACTGCATAATCCACCATCACAGAATTCAGCTACTCTTGCTATATACTCAGGCCTATCTTGGCACACATTTCAAGAATGAAAGACACAAAGCTCTGTGTTCTACTAAATCTAGCAGTGGAGCATCTTGTTTTCTGCATGGAATATAGAAACGTTACAGGCACAAGGAAAGATTTACACTGTAGATATGTATTATCAAGCTCATGTCCCTCAGTACTAGATAAGCAATGGTAGCATATGCCAATATGGTAGCATCATTTCAGAGACAAGTATAAGTTTTGTTGCTAGCAGCCCAGCTCTCACAACAGGTACTTCAGTTTGGGGGAGGGGGGAGAAACCCACTAGAGGGTCACACTCATATTAAAGATTTCCTCCACCACTGTTCTGCTTTGTGTCCTCTTGGCCTGCCATTGGCATTCAGGATTCCTCAGAGCACTCAGGCTCTGCTTGATCAGTCCTGCCTCATCTAAATTTCCATTTTGCCAAGGAAACAACTCCTAACTTCTGCTGGCAGTTACTATTTTGCTTTCCTTATTCAAAACTGTGCTCTCCGTCCTGGCTACAGCTGGGATGCAGAACCTTCCATTTGAAGCCCAAATACAGACTCAGAGGGTTCTCCATCTGGCCCACCTCTACAGATTTTTTATGCATATGTGTCTGTGTAAACACAAACACAATATATACACTGTGGCATTGTCTATGTCTATGCTTAATTTGATTTTGACACCTTCTTGTTTCCATGAAGCAAATAATTCAGAGTGGGAGCCACCTGTGAAAGTGAATCCGTACAGAGGCTCTTGAGGCCATGAGGCAGATAAAAGTTATCAGGAAATTGTTTTGCCATGCCATTCTCCTCTCACCCCACCCGCCATCAACCTAATTCAAACAGGAGTGCCTCACCAAAGATTCAGAATGTGCTGCTGCATGAACCTCCTTTTGTTACTGTGTCACATCCCTGATCCCTAGAATCTGCTCTTAAGAGAATTCATTCAAAATGAAAAGTTCTCTGCTTTAAAGTAGCCTCCACCAAAAATATTCACAGTTTATTATAGTTGTTTTTCATGAAACAAATAGCTAGTTAAAACACATGACATTGCAAGAAGAACAGAGTTGGACAAAGCAGTGCAGGTATCTTTCTTGTTACAAAGTACAGCTGGCTGAGGGAGGCTGGCACAAAGGAAGCCCTAAACACACAATCTACATGACAAAGTCCAGCTCACAGGAAGGCCTAAATATTTTAAAATTTTTAGAGCTTTATTTATTTATTTATTCCACACATGAGAAATATTTAATATTCAGAGCATGATGATTGGGTTGGCTTGCTCGTTTAAAAAGATGGTATTTTCACTTTAAAAAATGTTTTAGTAAAACGCCCTTGGCTTCTTGTTTCTGTCTCAAATTTTCAGAAGAAATGTCCTGTTTTTCTTTTTGCAGGAGTATGCAGAAGCAAAAAAAATGTTTGCATTTCTCCATTTCCAGCAATGAGCCGCACTCGGCCTCCTGCAGGTCTTCAAGGAAAACCGTGCCAAGCACTGAAACCCCGTTAGCCATAATGGGTTTGCAAAGTCATTTAGCTGCACTTAAAGAGTAAAATGGTTCAGAGAAGAGGAGAAGATGCACAACCATGTAGGGAATGTTTTGCGGTGCTGAGCAGGTATGATCATAGTGGAAAGCCGACACCAGAAAAAGTAACAGACTGAAATTCTAACTGCCACTGCGTGGTATATAAACTGCAATACCAGCACAACTGCCTACAGGACCGGAACACTCCAGCACTCTCTGTTTCAAGGTGAAGGGATCTGGGCTGGGATAGGACTAGAAGAGCTGGTAAAAAAAGGGGGAAAAGAAAGCCTTCATTGAACTGGGAATATGGCAGACTGTGTTGACTCCAGCTGCCAGGGTAAGGGAAACCTAAATAAATAGGCCAAAGTGAGCAGGAGAGGCACGTGTGTAACAGTCAAGCTGCTTCCTGCCATCCTAGTGTTAAACTGAAATCACAATGTGAAATACCTGCATAGTGTGTTGCCCTGCCTTTCTTACATTGAAGATCAGCAGATAGATAGATTTAGGCTCAGATTATAACTTCTCTGATCCCGTTACAATTCTACAGTGAAAACTGATCAGTACCACAGCAAACTGTTTTTCTGTCTGCAGGTAACATTTTTCCATGGTTAGGTGACACTAAATAAATATTTCCACCAGATTCATACCTGAATGATATACTTCCATGCCATGATTGAAAAATGAAGATGAAGGAAAAGAACTGAGATCTCAGCCAGGTGCTACAGCCCTTCATGTTCCAGTGTGAGAACTATGACCATGGATATCACTGAAGAGACTCTTCAGTGTAATCCAGTTAAATTCAAGTCGTCTTTCAGAGTAGGATTAATAATACATGCTCCATCTTGGACACAATTATTCTCAGATGGGCTCTTAATTCTGTTCCATCTTCTGAATTACATGATGCTTTAGTCAGAGTAATGCACCAAAGCTGCACAAACTATGTACCCAATGCAAACATTATTTCTAAGCATATTTGCTGTAGAAGAAGGCGACATTTGTTGTCCACACTAACAAAGAATTCTGGCTGCCATGATATCAAGGGAGAGAAAGAGGGTAGTAAACAGGAATGATGCATTGCAAAATCCAGAAGAGAGATTTTCTTATTTCTCTAACCTGCTGTTGCCCCTAGTGGTAAAAATTCTGCAAAATGTGAACTGGGCTACATTGCATCTGAGTCCCAACATCAGAGTAACTAGTAAATGGTGTCTCTGAATATCCTTTAATCTAGCCACCAACTATAGGGAACCTCAGATGAGGAGTGAATCGTTTTGCCTGGCAGAACTGAGCTTTTCAACTGACTTCAAGTAACAGTCCCTGTCCACCCCGACTGCACTGCTGCAAAAAGCACCTGTATTTCACAAACTCTAAACTTGCAGTATACTGAAGATCAAACACTCCTAAAACAGAACTGCAAAGAAAGAAGATTGTAGGGGAAAAGATCACGTCCCGTCCTTTGACTTGGTTTGGCTTTATATGAAGTTCCAGTGCAAAATGGCTAGCATGCATTTAGTGAGAAAAGATGTAAGGAAATCTACATCTTTTAAACTATGGTGAGGTGGTCTAGGAAACACACCATTGATGCAAGCCTGCTACTCAGACGTGCAGGACTAGTAGTCTGATTACTTCATTGGATTTAGAGATTTTATCCACAGTGGATCCCTTTATTTCAGCTTTATTGTTTGCAAAACGAAAAGAAACAGATCAATTATATTCTGGCTGGTTTGGTTGGGTACTGTTTAGATTTAGGTAAAATGTATCCATTTAAGCTGGATGTGATGTTGCCGAAGGATCAAAGATCTGGGGAAATGTGTGTTTTTCAAACCCCAAAAATCAAAATACCCTTCCCCATACAATTAAAGAAGGAAAAAGAAAAAACAGAACAAAACAAATATGGTGACCCGTCTGGCCTCAAACTGGCTTCACTTAGGTTTCGACTCAGTAGGTTCATGGCCAGGAGAGTCCTGGTTTAGTACTAGCACCGTATTTTGTTCAGACAAAGGCAAAATGTCCTGCCCCACAGGTGTTTCTGCTTTCCGAGAGAGCCAAGAGATCTGCTCAAATGTCTGAATGCTTCTGGGCAGCCACGAAGTTTGCCCAGCAGGCAGTGGAGCTTCCCTTCCAGGCCAAGGGGGTTGTTCAAATGCACACAATCTCTCCGTTGACCAAAATGTCTGCTCTGTGGAAGGTACAGATGTTGCTTCTTGGCCTGGGCAAAGACTGTGTTCAGGAGACTGCAGTTTTTCAGCTGTCCAAAGTGATGGCTCCACAGATGGGAGTCCTTTTGCACTATGCCATGGGGTCTTTTCATGTATTTGCAAGTTCTCCAGGGGGCAGGTTGTTTGTCCCGTGTATGTAGAAAATTTCCCTGTAGGCCTACAAGACTGCTCATCAGACACAGGTGTCCGTTCTTTCTGCTGCGGATTCTGCTCCAGGGTGGCAGAGCTTTTTTCTTTCGGCTGAGCATTCTGGTCAACGGGCCTTAGTGCTTTCTCTGAAAGCAGAGGAGGCCTTGGATGTAACGGGGAAGGAAGCCTGTCTGAAGGTTGAGACCTCGTGCCTGTGCTGGTAGTCTTGTCTGATGGCAGGGGCCGAACATCTACTGGGGTGGAAAGCCTGTTGGGCGTCTGAGGCAATGGGCCCACAGGAGTGGCAGACTTCTCTGTTGCTTTAGACCTTAGGGCTATAGGGGTGACTGGCCTGGCCAGTGGCTGAGACCTGAGGTTCAGTGAAGGAACAGATTTGCCTGGGGGTTGCGGCAGTGGGCCAACAGAAGTGGCCTTATCCACCGGCTGGGACTTCAAAGACTCACATTCTGCCAGCTTCTCCACAACCTGGAGCGTTGGTGTCGCTGTGGCAGATGACTCATCTAGTACCTGAGAACTGGGTCTATCTGCAGAAGGTGATGTGCCTGACCTCTCAGGGCCTAGCTTTTCCAAAGAGGATTTTTTGTCTGTTACCTGAGGCCTTGAATCCTCTGTGGCAGGTGGCTTATCCAGAGATGCTGATGCCTCGATGGTCGGTGGTTTGTCTGAGGGCTGCAACTCTTCAACTGCAATGGAGGATAGCTTTTCTGAGGGTTGCAACTTCTGGGCATCAATGGAGTTTGGTTTTTCAGAGGGCTGCAACCTCAGGGCCACAGCAGAAGGTGATTTTTCTGAGGGATGTAATCTAAGAGCCACAGCAGAGAGTGGCTTGTCTGATGACTGCAACCTACGGGCCAGGGCTGAAGACAATTTGTCTGAGGGCTTTAACCTCAGGGACAGAGTGGAGGGCAATTTGTCTGAGGGTTTTAAACTCAGGGCTAGGGTAGAGGGCAGTTTGTCTGATGGTTGTAGCCTCAGTGCCACTGTGGAAGGTGATTTATCTGAGGACTGCAGCTTCAGTGCAACAGAAGATGGTGGCTTATCTGAGGCCTTTAGCCTCAGAGCCAAGGAAGAGGATGGTGGCTTATCTGTGGACTGCAACCTCAAGGCCACGGTCAGAGGTAGCTTCTCTGATGGCTGAGATTTCGGGCTTGTAGCCACAGGCTGCTGGTCTGATGGCTGAGTGTTTTGGGAGCCAGCTGATGATTCTGTGGAAGGCGCATACTCACGAATCTCTCCTGGCTCTAGAGGGTGAGGTCCACAAGGATCATGTTCTGTGCATGACAGGCGCCCATCCAATTTGGAGATGAACAGCATGCCTTCTCGATGCTGCTTGCAGAAGGATCTGGGGCACATCTCACAGAAGGAGGCTGCTTCTTTGCTACACACATCACACTGATGCCAGGGGCATTCCCATTTCCCTATAGCATGGGGAAAAAGCAGAACTGAGAAACCAGCTCTCTGGTCGGAGAAGCAGACTGCCAAAACTGAGAAGCAGAAAAGCCCTAACTGATAAAACCATGTTAAACAGTATTGGAACATAGTAAGGAGCTGATATCGTTCTAGAAACCAGTGAATAACCTTATGAAACAAATAATGAAGTCAGGCACTAGCCTTTTGGGAAGAAAGATCTCTAACAAAACAGAAGAAACCCAAGGATCGTATGAGCAGGACCTGAGAGGATGAGAATCTGGAACTACAGAAACAAGCAAAGCAGACATATCTTGCAGAATGTGGGACATCTATACACAAACACGGAAGAGCAATGAGTACTGTACACGGGGATGTTAAGGATGGGCTCAGGAGGCCCAGGCTTCATTTGCCTTAATGGGAAGACATTACAGTTCCATTTCTACCATCTTAAAGAAAAGTTCCAGAGATAGGGTAGCTCCCTTTGGGGTCCCTAATACTGCCATATGTGACGTTCATTCTCTTTCAGTTCTCCCGTGGTACTTGTTCACTCCAATGGTACTTGTTTCTTTGGATTACAATTACAAGCCCACACAACATAGTCAATTTATAGCCAAAGATACACAAGGGGAAATTCTTAAATATATGTGTCTGATGGATAGAAAACAATATGCGTCACCTGCACTGTTTAGTGCTATTAAAAGTCTTGCTAAATCTCAGACTTTTAATACTGAGACAGCAGGTTCCTGTCTTAATTTGGCACTGGGCTTAGCTGAGAGAAGAGAGGAGCCACATACAGTGGTGCCTCGCATAGCGAGGTTAATCCGTTCCGGATTAACCTTCGCTATAGCGAAACATCGCTGAACGGGACAGGGAAAGCCATTGGAACGCATTAAACATCGTTTAATGCGTTCCAAAAGGCTCCTTCACTCACCGTTCAGCGAAGTTTCCTATGGCCGGCAGCCATTTTCGTGCCCTTGTTAAGCGAGGGGAGGGCGCGAAAACGCTGCGCGCGGCCATTTTGGGGCTTCCGGCGGCCATTTTGTCCGCCGAACAGCTGATCGTCGGAGTGTCGTTTTGCAAAGATCGGTAAGCGAAACACCGATCTTCGCAAAGCGAATTTCTCCCTATCTAAAGCTCGTTGAGCAATCGCATTAGCGATCCCAAAAAAGGGATCGCTATGCGATTTCGTTGTTGTACGGTGCGCTCGTTAAGCAAGGCACCACTGTACTTGGAAATTTACCACAGGGTTTGGAGAAAAAACAGAGCAGTGAGGAGAAAAGCATCTTTGCAAGCACAGAAGAGGTTAAGCAGGGCTTAGATGTGGGTGTGACAAAAGTATGCTTCCTTTCTTGCGAAACAACCAACACAAACCCACGGAATATCTCTGTGGTTCTCTGCCATTACCACTGATGCATGTCTTATATATGTTGACAATCCTGCTTAGCTGGGCTGGGAGGCATGCCGTCTCCCTCAAAAGGCAGTGCCATCGTACAGCTCTTGTACTTTGTTTCTAAGGATAGAGGCAAACAATACATGACTGACCTGCAGGTCGCCTGGTCAGATTGAGGCAGTCGGCATGGTACACTTTGGGGCAGCCTGGCCTTTTGCAAGAAACCAGCTGTCCACCATCCCCACAGCTGAAACATTCATCCTCTCGCTCCTTCAAGACTTCTGCCTGTGACTTTCGCTTTCCATGCCGCCTCTTAAGCTTCTTGGATTTCTCTTCTGAGGCAGGTGGTTGGTTCTGGAAGGAAATCAGAACCAAGGAACCATTGTTTAGAGGAAGCCAGTCCCTGCTGTGATGATTTCAATACCCACCTTTCAGTTTTTGTTTGTGGATAATGTGTGTTGTGCAAGTTTACTGTCACTTAATGGAATGACTGGGCTGAGCAACTGGGAAGTCCCAAATGAATTACAGGTTAATACTTTTATGGCCTTTGAGAAGGGAAGGAAAATGCCTATGGAGAAACTTATTTCCATTGGCTCTCTGCCTGAGGGGAAGGGGAGGGATTGGGAGGGGTTATATTTAATTTCCAAACATCACTGTTACTGAGTTTTTATTGCCAGCTCCAATTTTTGAAAATTAAAGAATGTTCCATGCATCCCACAAATGGCTTTCCTGCAACAGAAAGGATGGAATGGGAGTCTCAGAACTTTTAGTCGGGGGGGAATAAACCCAAAGAAGGAGATGTAGGGAACTGGAACTTGTCCATCCCAACCAATAGGAAGGATTGAAACTGTGACATTCACCCTGTGTGTGTGAGTGATCTGATCAGCACATCTTGCACAAATCTCTCCAAGTCTTCCCTTTCTCTCAGTTTCACATTTTCAACTGCCAAGAAAGCTGAAAAGGCAGCAACGTTTAAAGTGTTTTATTGTTGCTATGATACTTCACATTTTCTCTGCAGCCTACATTTGACCCATAAGCAAATTCAAACAATATTGAGTAATCTGGTCTTTCTGAGCAGATTATTCATAAACACGGTTCAAACCCACCCACAGGCTCAAACACAGGTTGCAGGGGAAAAACAGGACATGTCATGGAAATCCTCCTCCTAGTTATCACCATTTATTTATTTATTTATTTATTTTCATAAACATGGTTCAAACTCACCCACAGGCTCAAACACAGGTTGCAGGGGAAAAACAGGACATGTCATGGAAATCCTCCTCCTAGTTATCACCATTTATTTATTTATTTATTTATTGGATTTTTACCTCGCCCCTCTAGACCATGTCTACCATCGTTCCCCAGATGTCCTTGGATTGCAATTCCCAGAAATCCCAGCTAGCTAGTGATGAAGGCCTCCTCTGGGAGTTTTAATCCAAGAATATCCGAGACTCAAAGTTGGGAATCACTGTTCTAGAAATCAACACTCCCACCCTGAATGGCACCCCTCTAAAAGGGGAGCCCACTACAGTGAACAGAATTCTTCCATACTAAGTAACAGGTGGTGCAAACGCAGATAAAAGGGCAGTCAAGAAAGAAATCCAAAGACAGGTGGTTATACCTTTGGTCGGACGCCAAGGAAGCCACTGCAGTTTGGAGCGCCGCATTTGCAAACAGTCTTCCCATTCCCCAGACACTCCAGGTTGTAATTGAAAGTCAGTTCCGTCCCTGGGAATCAGAGAGAGGAATGAGACCCATGTGGACTGGAACAGACTTCCAAGCAAGAAGTCCTGACTTCTGGCACTAGCACAAAATACTAGAAACTAACTGAAGGATGTTTACTACACTTACAGTGGTGCCTCACATAGCGAAGATAATCGGTGCAGCAAAAATAGCTGAGAAGCGATTTCGTCGCTATGCGATATTAATAAGCCCATAGGAATGCATTGAAACCCCTTCAATGTGTTCCTATGGGCTTCAGACTCACCTTTAAATGAAAATCCTCCATACGGCAGCCATTTTCGCTGCCTGGTAAGTGAGGAATCTGTCCCAGAAAACAGCGGGTGGCCATTTTTTACCCAGCGGCCATTTTGGAACCGCCGATCAGCTGTTAAAAAATCATTGCTTTGTGATGATCGGTAAGCAAAACAGGGTACTGATCATCGCAAAGCAATTTTTCCCCATTTAAAACATCGCAATGCGATCGCTTTTGCGATCGCAAAATCTTCATCACAATGCGATTTCTTCATTAAACGGGGAGCCCGTTAAGCGAGGCACCACTGTACTTTCTATGGCCTGAACGCACCATCATTTACTCATTAGTGCATTTGCTCCTCTACTTCCTCCTCTTACCTTCAAAGCCAGAACATTGATAACATTGAAATAAAACATCAAAACAGATTAAAAATAGATCAATAAGGTGGGGGGGAGAGAAGAGAGAAGATTTATACAGTTAAAACTCGTTCAGGAGCAGCCTAGCTTATATCCCAAAGGCCTACGTGAATAAAATATTCTTCGTCTACCTGTAGAAAACAACAAAGCAGGACAAGCTAGCTTCAGACTGCCTGAAGAAGTGGACTTGTCCATGAAAGCTCGTATTAAAATATAGCAGTTAGTCTTTAAGATGCCACGTTTTTGTCTCATTTTTTGTTTTGTTCCTGCCTGACATTCTTTATTAGAGTAGACCTATGAGATCAATTCTTGAACACATATATAAATTCTATTGACTCAGCAGGTGTATTCCAACTGAGACTAGCAATTAGGCCTTAGAGACAAAATTGCCATCTAATTGCTCTACTTACCAGCTTTGATATTTGTAAGGGCAAAAAGCCCAACCCGGGTATCTCCATTCACTGACCATTTCTGAGTCTCACAGTTTGGCTGGCAGCAATGGTTCATAAATCGAGCATAATTACCCTTTGGTCCAGCATCAATGATTCGATCCTAAAAGAACAGGAAATAACTCAGCCTTAAAAAGAAGAAAAACTTGGCATTTAAACCCATATATACGGAATGCAGCACACAACAACACTTGGGTGAAACAGAAAAAGAAACAGAAACATTTATCACACACCTTGTCCAAAGTCAGCATGTAAAAGTTGGTGATGTCATGCTCTTGAGCATGGCGAATTCTAGCCCGGCATTCTTCCTCATCTATCAGTTCTCCCACATACTCATTCACAAACTCACCCTAAAAGTATCAGGATTGAGAAGATATAAATATCAAGTATTCCGAAAGCAAAGTTATTAACCTGAATGAAAGTGTGTGTGTGTGTGTGTGTGTGTGTGTGTGTGTGTGTGAAAGAGAGAGAGAGAGAGCTGTATCAACAAAACGTAAATATTACCATTTTCTTATGTACAAAATTATAGTCCTTAAAACATATTGCAGCAATACTGCTCTACTTATATACATTAACTAGATCTGGGTAATACTCTCTATGGAAGCTCCAACTGGTGCAGAATGTACGTAGTTTCCTGGCTGCTTGAAGGGGCCAGGCAGTCTTTGCACAGATTACCCTTCACTTCTGAGCTCACACTGCTCGTTTTCAGGTTGGCTGAAGGATGGGCAGATAGCCTTTTGTACTGGATTACTTTTGTATGGGTAGATAGCCCTTGGTAATTATGGGAAACAGGATCACAGCTACATACTTTTATTTATATATATGTACATATATAAAAGATAGGAATTTTGGTTTGTTGTCTTTAGTATCTTGTACCCTAACAAGAATGAATTTCAGTTCTGTAAATTGTGGGCCACACAATAATATAACTAAATCTGGGGGAGAAAATTAAGGCAGCAAAACAAAGCATAATTAAAAATAGTAAATAAATAAATAAATAAAAATAATTCTGATTTTTTTCTTTTTAAACTTTATTGAATAAAGTTTAAAATAACAACAAAACAGTAAAAATCTTTCACCAAGAATTTATAAGCTGATATAGTATCTGCACACTATTTCAATCTGCATCAATCAGAATACTGCACCTAAGTCTGGAAAAGAAGGCTGATGGAAATGAAGCCTTGACATTCTCATTAACATACCAATAAAAGGAAAATGCATGCTGAAATTTTTTTTGTCAGGAGTATTGCTGCTTAAGTACATAATATGAACTGGTGAGTTAATTTTTCCTTGGTCGCATTCTCTTTCTCCGTGCGTGTAAAGTTACATAACATACCTTTTTAATGTCTCTTTTGGCCTGCAAGCCCCAGCCTCGTGCGAGTGTGCGGAAGATTTCTACTTCAGGATACTGCCTCTTGGTGAAACACTGGTTTTGGCAGCGCTCCCCGGCTGGACAGACAGCAGGGTGACATTCATAGAGCAGCATGCGATTGATACACTCCGAGTCTATGCCACAAGGGTTTTCATCTCCTAGTTTGCAGTTGCAACGGGGAATCTCCGACAAGTCTGCTGTGAAGATCTGCACTTTGCCTACGGGCCGGTTTACCTTTAAGCAGACAATGCAAAGTCTTGGTTGGCTGGTCTGATTATGCTGCACATTGAAAATGTATCTTAACCGGGTCATAGGTTGAAATACAGCACATATACAGAGAAATAAAAAAATGTACTTTTACTACAGAGATGGATAAGCACCCTAGAATTAATCAGTGGCACACTTTTATGTATGCTAAAATACGTTTACAATTTGCAACATCTCCAGGTGCAATGCTACTAACTCCCAACCAGTAAAGAAAATGCACCTTTCATAAGGTATTGTACAGTGGTGCCCCGCATAACGAGCGATTTGTTTCGCTTACTGATTTTCGCATAGCGCTGTTTTAAGAACAGCTGATCGGCGGTTCCAAAATGGCCACCGGGTAAAGAAAATGGCCACCCGCAGGGTTTTCGCGCCCTTTCCTCACTTACCGGGCAGTGAAAATGGCAGCCGCATGGAGGATTTTCGCAGAACGGTGAGTTTTTGGCCCGTAGGAACACATTAAATGTGTTTTAATGTGTCCCTATGGGCTTTTTTGCCCTGCATAGCGACGAATCCACATAGCGATGATTTTTTTCGGAATGGATTATCGTCGGGGCACCACTGTAATGTGCTCACTAAAAATCACAGGTTACTCAACTGTAATTGTAGTTCTTCGAGTGGACCTCTGTGATTCACACCCTGGGTATTCCGTGCCTGTGTGGAGCCTTGTCGGAAGATTCTAGAGCTTCTGCCATAGCAAAAACCACATTACTGTAGACCCCTCCCCCTCCGTATATGTACCTTGGCACCAGGACTCTCCTTCAGTTATGTCAACTGCTGCATAATAGAGCTGCATGGCATGACAGTGGGGAGGCCAGGTCGGGATGTGTGAATCACAGAGGTCCACTCAATGAACTACAATTACAGGTGGGCAATGTGTCGTTCTTCTTTGTGACCTTTGTGAATCACACCCTGGGTGGCTAACAAGAGGAGGGTGTCATGCCAAGGTAGAAGCTAGAACAGCATGTCCACAGGCCACATCAGATTTCTGCCGAACATCCAACCTACAGTGTTTGATGAATGTGGATGACTGTGACCATGTGGTAGAGGCGCAGACATCCGAAAGAGGAATGCCATGAAGAATTGCCGTTGAAATTGCGATTGCCCTAGTGGAGTGAGGTCGAATCACCTGAGGAGGTGGCTTTCGTGCAAGCTGGTACGCGAGACGGATGGCAGAAGCAGCCCACTTGGGAGATTCTTTGTGATGTCACCTGGAAACCCTTTGCTGAAAGTTGGTAGCTGATGAAAAGTCAAGCTGAGCACCGGGTTGTGTACGGGCTAAGTAAAATGCTAGGGCCCGTCTAACATCCAGAGTACGGAGGATTCTTTCATGAGCAGTAGACGGAGACGGAAAAAGGGATGGGAGAACCAATGGTTGGGAAATATGAAACTGAGAAACAACTTGGGGAGAAAAGAGATATCTACAAACAACTTGACTTTGTCTGGACAGAACTGTAGATAAGGATAATCATATTGCAAGGCTGCAAGGTGGTCTCTGAAAGCCTTGCAAGCTTTTATCACTGCTAGTTCTAGTTCTAGTTCATTGATGTGGACCAATTTCTCCCTTTTTGACCACTGCGCATGGATCTTTAGAGATCTGCAGTGAGTGTGAAGCAAGGATATCAAGTTTCCCCGCTTGTCCACTGGGAGAAATGCTCAGGCATGAATAGTCTATGAACAGCCTTTGTGGGTTGTATCTTGGATTTTTGTATATTTACAGTAAGGCCGTGAAGAAGAGAGTGAAGCGTATGTCTTGTTGCACCCTGCGACGGGAGCAAGCTACAAGAAGCCAATGTCGATGTACAGAAAGATGTGGATTTTGTGAAATCTGAGGTAAGCTGCCACAGGTGCCATACATTTGGTGAAGACTCTGGGAGCTGTTGCGAGTCCGAAAGGGAGTCTTTTGAATTGATAGGTCTGAGTCCCGAGCTGAAAATGGAGGTAAAGCATGTGAGAAGGGTGGATGGATATATGGAAGTAAGTGTCTGTTAAGTCTATGATTATGAACCAATTGTCCTTTCGGAGCAAGGGAAGAACAGACTTGAGGGTTACCATGCGAAATTTGGTGGTAATGATGTAGCGATTTACGTAATTCTCTGAGGTCGAGGATGGGACGCAGACCTCTGTCCCTTTTGGGGATAGTGAAATAACGAGAGAGAGAAACGCTGTTGGTTTGATATACTAGTTCTATGGCATCCTTGAAAAGCGGAGTCTGTATTTCATTCTGCAGGGTTTGCAATGGAGGTGTAACAGTGTTCACTGGTAGAGGAAACTGATGGAAATGAATGAGGTAACCGCTTCGGATGACAGAGAGGACCCAAGCATCTGTGGTGATGGCTTCCCATGCAGGTAAGTGTTTCCAAAGGGGAGGAGGAGAAATGTGGTGTGTTGCGATTTCGGCCGGTTGGATGTCAAACATGATGCTTAGCCTTGTGATCATTGCGTCTAGTCATGGTTTCTTGATGTGGTTTGGATCAATAAAACTGTTGTTTGAAGTAAGGTGTATAGGAAGTTTGCCTTTGAGGTTCCTGATGGAACCTTTGGTAAGAGTTATAGGGGCACCGCCATTGAGTACGCTGGGGATGTTGCTGGCATGAGGGATAAATTCCCCAACATCTAGTGGCTGATCTCTTTTTCTGGATGTTTTTCAGAATTAATTAATTAAATTTATACCCTGCCCAAATAGACCAAAGTCTACACTGGGTGTCCGCATTAATGGGCTTCCGCATTAGTGCCCACTTTAAAGAGACCTATCCTGTCAAAAGGGAGGTCTTCAATGCGTGCTCTCGCATCCTCAATGAGGCCAGCTGTTCTCAACCAGGAGAAACGCTGAAGGGTGATGGAGGTTGTTATGAATTTGGCAGTGGCATCAACAGTATGTCTAGCTGAGAGCATTTGTTGTTTGGAAAACTGACAGTCCTTCTTGTTGGAACGTTTGAGCCAAAACCCTGTTGTCCTCGGGAAGTGCCTCAATGAAGGTGGGCATGTTATCCCAGAGGAACGGCTGGTAACCACCCATGGCTTCTTGGTAGTTGGCGACTATCTTGGTGAATGCAGTGGAAGAGTATGGCCATCTGCCCATGGAGTCGATCTGCTTGCTGTCCTTATTGGGCGGTACGAGAATTTGATGGTGTCAAGATAGAGATTGGGAAGCCTCAACAAAGATCGAGTTCGGAGCTGGTTGGTTTTGAAGAAAAAATGCTCTTGGATCATGAACTTGGTAAAGACTGTCGATGCGTTTTGACACTGAATGAGACAAAGCTGGTTTCATCCACAGTGCTAAGCAGGGATGGTAACATAGAAATGTGAACCAGAGTTGTGGTGTCCTTGGAAATTGGATCGTAGAGGTGATCCACTGGTTCCATTGTGGGTCTGTGTATTTGGAAATCCAGGAACTTAGCCATGCGCACCATCAATTGCTCATAAGTTTGAAAATCCTCCGCTGGAGATGGAGGGTCAGCATCTGCTAAGTCAGACTCCGGTGATGTGAGCAAAATGCATAGTGTTTGCGGTCTGGATTCCTGTTTGGAATGCTTGAATCCGAGTCGAGAGTTTGTGGAATGACAATTGACCTCGATATTGAGAGGCTGTCCCTCAAAATGTTGGTATCGACGTTGGGATGTTGATGTTGAGGGAGCATCCATGGACAGTGGTCAATGTCGAGGGTATCAATGGGGCGTTCATGGACACTGGTTGATAGCGAGGATCATTGACATTTGAACCTGTATCTGGATGGCGGTGAGATGGGGGTTCAGAGAGTGACCAATATTGAGGATCATCGATATCGGAGCCAGTATCTTGATGGTGTCAAAATGGAAGTTGGTGCCATGATGGTAAAATGGTTGATGGGCCACCTTGGAAAGCCGTGGAGTAGATAGATGCTGGTGATGGCAAGCGGAATGATTGATCTCGATCCTTCTGACTGGCAGGGAAATAGCGGTGTGCCACAGCTGCAAATGCACCCTGAGCTGAAGAGTATTGATTGGCTGCTCTGGATTTTTTGGGTGACAGCTGCAGATAAACTGTAGGAACCTTTTGAGAAGCATATAGGCAAGATCATTTCGACATTGAGGGCTGCTGTAAGTGAGACCTCTGATGTGGCACTGCCATCGAACTGGGGAGAGGAACCGGTTAATAATGCTTGGCAGGCTTGTTGGTTGAGCACTGATTAGGGCAAATGGCTACCTGATGATAGTGCTGAGCATGGGTCGATGCAAAGATATATTGTTGGTCCCGCATGGTTGGTGCCCTTGATGACACGTTGGAGGCTGAGGTGGTAGGCCTATTGGGATGGAGTAGGGCACAGTCTCCGGTTGAGTTTTTGGCTCCTTGCATATTGGGCGAAGCAACTAAGGAGCGCTCGCTGACAGAGCCAGTTTGTCGAGGACTAGTTGGGGAGGATGTGAGCTGTTTCATCCTGTTGGATGGCCAAGCAATCTAGAATATAAATTTCAAGGGGGAAGGGCCTCAGTACAGGCTAAGTTGTTTACCTGTTTGTTTGCATGCTAACCAATTAGAGGGAGTTTGTTGTTCCCGGGCTAGGGAAGCTCCACCCCTGTTTTCGGCCCTTCTCACTATGAGGTGTTTGAACCTCTATTGTTATTAGCGCGCGCACGCACACGCGCACGCGCACGCACACACACACTTTTCACCTGGAAAGATGTAACATCTCCAGGCTGGCTCTGAGCCTGGAGATCTCTCCAGCCATGTGGGCCAAGGTGAAGGATGTCGTCTTTTGCTATTTCTTTCTTTCTGTATCAACCTGAAACCTCCTGAATGCTTATCCATGTGAGTAAAATATAGAATTCTTTCTTTAATACAAAAATCACCTCCTGAGTGTTATTTTTCTGAAGTGCTAGGCTTTGGTGAGGGGCAGGTAGTAAAAGGGAACTTCTAGCTAATTCTGCCCAACCAGCTGGCGCTTCCTGCTGCACATTTTTGTGGAATTCAAGCGGGTTCCCACGACTCTCAACACATCCCCTCCTCCCATTCTGGTTACTGCGATGGATATAGTTGATGAGATGGAAGTACTTCCTCATCAGAGGGTGAACCCACACACGTGAGATCCCCAGATTCTGGGTGCTGAGGGGGAAACTAACCCTTGGGGATTTCGCCTTCAAAGATTTAGGTTTCTTTGGTGGTGAGGTTTCTTGAACGGAAGGTGCATCGGTGAACGGCTTCCATTTGGTGTCTGGTTTTGATATTGATGATTTCGGCATCAAATGTTAAGTCTAGATAGACGACTCCGGAGAACTCAGTGTTTGAAATTCTTACAGTGAGGGCAAGAGGAGGTTTGGTGGGCCTCAAAAAGACAAAAAAGACATTTAGCATGGCTGTCATGGGCCTCACAAAGACAAAAAAGACATTTAGCGTGGCTGTCAGAAAGCAGGATCTTCTTCTCTCAGACCATGCAACCCATATTTAAACAGGCCCACTGAAGCCATGAAAATAGAAAAAGGAAAGAAAAAAGGGGAAGGGGGCATTGGCCGCAAGGCCGCAGCAATGGAAGGAAAAACGTTCTTTTTCTTCTTTTTGCTAATAAAGTACTCAAAGACAAAAAAGACATTTAGCGTGGCTGTCAGAAAGCAGGATCTTCTTCTCTCAGACCATGCAACCCATATTTAAACAGGCCCACTGAAGCCATGAAAATAGAAAAAGGAAAGAAAAAAGGGGAAGGGGGCATTGGCCGCAAGGCCGCAGCAATGGAAGGAAAAACGTTCTTTTTCTTCTTTTTGCTAATAAAGTACTGTATTAAGCATTTAAAGGAATCAAGAATAAATTCTCTTTCACTATTAGGAAAAACAAAAAGTGATCGATACGAGGCTCTCAATGCGGCAGTTGAAAGAAACTGAAGGGAGATCCTTGGCGCCAAGGTACCTATATGGAGGGGGAGGGGTCTACACTAATGTCCCTTGGCGCCAAGGTACATATATGGAGGGGGAGGGGTCTACACTAATGTGTTTTTTTTGCTACCGCAGCAGCTCTAGAATCTTCCAACGAGGCTCCGTGAGGTGCGGAATACCCAGGGTGTGATTCACAGAGGCCACAAAGAAGTAAAGCACCCTCCAACCCCAAGTTAGATAGAGAAATTCACCAAAGAGGTGGCTCCCTTCACCTGAACTAGATTTTATATATACCGCAAATCTACCATGGGTCAGCATGCAGTTGAATTTAATGTGGCCAGCAGCTGACCCATATATAATCTCCGCTGGTGATACCCAGGGCGTGATTCACAGAGGCCACAAAGAAGTAAAGCACCCTCCAACCCCAAGTTAGATAGAGAAATGCACCAAAGAGGTGGCTCCCTTCACCTGAACTAGATTTTACATATACCGCAAATCTACCATGGGTCAGCATGCAGCTGAATTTAATGTGGCCAGCAGCTGACCCATATATAATCTACGCTGGTGGAAGCATATGCCTGTTTGAAAATTGACTTTTGGGGTTCATCTGAAGTCATTTCAGACAGCACACAGGATCACAGTGGACAGGTGTAAGGGTTTTGGCTTCAGCGGAGGATGAGGTACAAATAAGAGAGATATGCAAGAGGAAATAATGCAAGTTCCAATTAGTCAAGGTGCATTACCAACCTATGGCTGAGACTGGCAGCGGCATCCTCGGCTACATGGCCCACTTGCTTAACCAGGCTGAAGGGATTCTGAGAATTACCTCTACCAAGGCCCACTCCTGCTCCCATGCCTTGCTTCCTCACCTTGATATGTTTGTATGGAGGGGGCTTCTTGTCATTCTTTCTGTCTTCCTGTAGCTGCCTCAGTTCCTTCTGTGCTTTCAGTTCTTCAAATCTCGTAGCAGCTTCCTGCAGAGCTATGTTGTTGTTTTTTTTAAAAAAATAATCCTTTTACATTATATAAGAACAGGCATTTGAATTCATTTTACTAGCAACTTTAGTGTTGTATGTTAACAGACTTTTGTATTAGCTTTTCCGTGTAAAGATGTGTATCAGTAACAGATGGGAACAGCAGCAGCAGCAGTGGGGTAGCAAATCCTAAGCTATCCAGAATGTTACCTTTCTACCAAATTCATCTTCCCAATACTGGCAGTGGGCCTGGGTATGGAGGAGGACCTTTAGTAACTGATGCACAGTTCATTAGGGATACAAGGGTGTGAAACTGAACGAACACAGTGGTTGCCACACATGATCTGTGGGTAATATTATTTACTTGTCCCCTTACTGAGAAAGGTAAGAGTGAGGCCTAGATTTTATTTTTCAGGATTCACGGTGTAACAAAAGTGTAAACAGTAACGAGACTGCCAGTACTTCATGGAAAGACAACGTTAACCTAACACCAAGGTTGTAGTCACAGCTTTGTATGATACCTGAGCTCAATCACCTTCTTTCTAATGCCTTTCTTCTTGAAAACACAAAATAGTGTTTTGGTTGTCAAATTTTTTAAAGTGAAAAGAAACGCACAGACTCAACATCTTTTGTTAAAAAAACCTTGACCCATTTTAAGACAAGTGAAAATGTCCAAGTAGCTTAGCCTGCATCTATAATTGTCACAGAACTTTAACAAGGGCTATGCCTGAAGTACCACAGAAGACCTCAGACGTATTGTGATTTTATTTATTTATTATGCTTGTATCATGTATTTTCCCCAAAGGTTCTCTTCCTTCCCACTATATCTCACAATTTCTCTATACTGGACAAGTTGATAGGAGCTGTGCTGAAACAAAAGGGAACGTGTTGTTACCTTTCTTGTACACGCCATCCACTCCCTTTGCCATCTTGTCCTTACTGCTCACGTCCCCTTCCATGTAAGGAAAGACACGAGCTTGATGGGTCCAAAGGTAATCATTTGATCCAAAGAAAAGGACAGGAAATTCACCAATGACATGTTTCATTTTCTGAATGTTGACAGGAATAGTTCTAGGGTGGCAAATTTCAGCTGGCCACCATCTGTTAATAAAGAAAGCCAGGAAAAACTGATTAGTCAACTAGTACCTGCTGAAATGTCTGCTATTCAGAGTCAGGTCTTTGGAAGCAGAGGTAGGTAGGTAGGTAGGTAGGTAGGTAGGTAGGTAGGTAGGTAGGTAGGTAGGTAGGTAGGTAGGTAGGTAGGTAGGTAGGTAGGTAGGTAGGTAGGTAGGTAGGTAGGTAGGTAGGTAGGTAGGTAGGTAGGTAGGTAGGTAGGTAGGTAGGTAGGTAGGTAGGTTCATGTGTGTCCTACCACTGTTTCATACAAAGAGATTATAAAAGGACCTGCCCATAAACAGGAAATAGCAAGTTCAATTTTTTTTATGAGAGACAGTAATTGGAGCACTAAGTGGTGACTGAATTGCTGTATTTGACTCACCTGTAACGGCCCACTTTCACCCATACCACCTCTTTGTAATGTGGTTTCTTGCCAGCCTTGCAGTCATTGCAGTACCAGCTCCCTTCTGGCATGTCGATGTTCAGGCACTCCCGGTGGAAGGCAGCGGGGCAAGACTCACAACACAAAAGGCTCCCACCTGCAAGAAAGAAAGAAAGGCAGGCCCATGAGGCCGACATGGAGTGGGGAGTGGAGGTCCTAGTTCTCCGTTGCCATCTTACTCAAAATTTTGCCTCCACTTCAGTTCCCAGGAGGAGAAACTGGTCAAGACAGCACCTTGCTGGTCCTTATGAAAAAGTAATGTTCACGCCCTGTTACAGTATTTAAGAGGCCTTCATTCTCTGAAAACCTTGCAGTATGTCAGGGCTAAACACAGCTATACCTATTTGCACCAAGAGACACACGCAGGAAGAACTGACATGATATCACGAAAGAATCCACAACAGAGGGAGTCAATGGAGAATGTTGAGGGGGCTCCCAGCCTCCTCCTTCCCACTGTTCAGTTATGGATGGCTTTAGTATTTCACTACATTTATCAGCTAGAAACCAACTCTTGATTTATGTTTCTATTTATGAAATGGGCTCCTAGGAACTCACAACTCTTCTTCATTAAGAAATAATGAGAGCCATTGTTTCACAGCAGCTGCAGTGTATAAATACTACAACCAAGGAAGAGAGGGAAAGGCCGTTAGACTTGAGATGAAGCAAAAAAAGCCATAGAACAGTAGCAAGTGATGGGTTGAGAAAAGGCAATGAAGAAGCTTCAGTGAAAGATTTGAATCTGTTCCATTTATACAGGTAAGCCTTTCTAGTGGAGGGCTTCTCTGATTGACGGAGGATGGTCATTAGAGAGGCGGAATTCTCCACCCTGCCAGGTGCAGAACAGGTAAGTCTGAGAGGAGTACTTGGCCTTTGTTCTGGTGAGGAGGTGGGGCAGGCAAGGGAGGTGGTGAATGTCTGATAAGAGATTGTGAAGGACTGGAAACCAGGGTTGTCTTGGCCACCAAGGGGCTATAACGATGGCATCGGCTTTGTCTTGTTGTAGGTGAAGCACAACCTTGTAGAGAAGCAGGGACCGCGGATAAAGGTGAGGGTCTTGGGCCATCGGCCGATGAATGCATCTCCTTGGGAGTGTTTGCCAATGCCGGCTTGGGAGCAGTATCGTTTGCACTTCTGATTCACACAGGAGGCGAAGAGGTCGAGAGTTGGTCTGCTCCATCGTTCGCATAGGTGAAAAAAAAACTGATTGGCTGCCCCATTGTTCGCATAGGTGAAAAAAAAACTGATTGGTCTAACTCCCATTTGTGAGCTTGAGAGTTTGTGCAGCTGAGTAGATCAGCCAAGTTGTTGTTGTGGCCAGCAATGAGTAAAGCCGTGAGGCAGATACGATGTGCTAGGCACCACTTCCAGAGGTCAATCACTAAATAGAGGAGACTTGGAAAGTGGTTGCCACCTTGTTTCAGAATATATTACATTGCCGTAGTGTTGTCAGTGCCAATTTGTACCATCTTGTCAGCAAGGAGATTTCTGAAACCTTTGCAAGCTTTTATAACCACCAACAGTTTTAATTTGTTGATGTGAAGCAATTTCTCTCTGGAAGACCACTTGGCGTGGATTTTGAGAGCTTTGCAGTGAGCTCCCCAGCCTGTGAGGCTTCTGTTGGTGGTGACCTGTATTTGTGGTCATGGTTGTCAGAACAGTCGCCTGATGGATAGGAAAAACGGCACCACTGAAGTTGGGAGGCAGGTTCTGGGGTGACCCTTAAAAGAGTGTGAGGAGGGTCTGTGAGCAGGTCGAAGAGGGCGAGAAACCACAACTGAAGAGATCTCATCTTGAAACATATGTGATCCACTACTGAAGTCATAGAGGCCGTAGGGCCTAGTACACGTTGCACAGCCGAGGCGGGTACCATAGCATGAGGGGTGAAAACTTGAAGTAATGTGAAGAGATTTTCACTCTTGTCTGGAGGAAGAAAGGCACGAGCTTGTGTGGAATCTGTGCATGTGCCCATATAATGAATAATCTTTGTAGGTTTCAAATTTAATTTTTGTTTGTTGACAGCGAGACCGAGATCACGGAGGGTAAGGGTGAAGTGAGTATCTCGTTGGGCCTTGTGACGGGAATAAGCTATGAGGAGCCAATCGTCGATATATGGAAATATGAGAATTTTTTGCAACCTGAGGTAAGCAGCTACTGGTGCCATGAACTTGGTGAATACTCTTGGAGCTGTTGCAAGACTGAAAGGAAGCCTTTTGAATTGGTAGGCTCATGATCCTAGCAGAAATTGAAGGAATTTTCTGTGTGAAGGATATATGGAAATATGGAAGTATGCGTCGTTGAGATCTATGACAGTGAACCAGTTGTTTTTGCGGAGTAAAGGAAGAGGTGATTTGAGGGTAATATGGAATTTTGTGGTGATTATGTATTTTTTTTATCTCTCATAGATCTAAGATAGGGTGAAGACCTCAGTCCTTTTTGGGTACAGTGAAAAAGCGAGAGAAAAACTCTTTGTTGTGTTGTGAGATGGGTTGTGTGGCATCTTTGAGAAGTAAATTTCTTATTTCCTCTTGTAGGTTTGGAGATGGTGGAGTGATTATGTGTGTTGCTGGAGGAAGTTGAAAGAAATGGATGTGATAGCCATCACAGAAGATGGACAGTACCCAGGCATCTATAGTGATGGATTCCCAGAAAGGTAGGTGTTTCCAGAGGGCAGAATAGGTGGAATGGTGTGCAATCTCGGTCATGGGAGCATCAAACATGATGTTTGGGCTTGTGGTTGTTGTGCCTAGTAATGGGTTGTTGGCGGGGTTTATTTCTTTTATTTCTGAAATAGAGTGTATAAGATGTTTGTTTTGGAGGATCACGTTGGAATTTTTTATATGAGTTGTAGGGTCGTATCCATTGATTTTGTTGGGGGTGTTGTTGGTAAGATGAATAAACTCCCCAATGTCTAGCTGTTGATCTTTTCTTCTGCACATTTTCCAAAACATCATCAGTCTCAGCATTAAAGAGGCCTGCCCTGTCAAATGGAAGGTCTTTGATATGTACGTGGGCATCTTCAGCCAGGCCAGCTGTCCTTAGCCAAGAGAAACGTTGTAAGGCTACTGAAATGGCCCTTGACTTTGCTGTGGCATCTACCATGTGCCTAGCAGAAAGCATTTGTTGTTTGGCAATGGAAAAATCTTCTTGTTGAAAGGTTTGGGCGAGTACTTTTTTGTCCTCTGGTGAAGATTCAACAAAGGTTGACATACTGTCCCGAAGGAAATGTTGATATGCATCCATGGCTCCCTGGTAGTTAGTGACACGCATGGTGAACGCGGCTGATGAATCAAGCCATCTTCCCATTGAGTCAATACTTCTACTGTCTTTATTTGGTAGTATGAAGATTTGTCGATGTCGAGATCTGGATTGTGAGGCTTCAACAAAAATAGAGTTTGGAGCTGGTTGTTTTTTGAAGAAATAGAGCTCCAGGATCATGGACTCTGTAGAAGTTATTGATTTGAAGAGGCTGGTTCTGTCTAGGATTGTTGAGCGGTGCTGAGTAGAGACAGAAGCATCGAAATGTGTACTGGAGGAGTTGTATCTTTAGAGATTGGGTAATATAGATGATTGGCTGGTTCTGTCGAAGGACAGTGGATTTGGAGATTGAGAGACTTAGCCATACGGATCATAAGTTGGACGTTAAGTTTGGAAGTCTTCCGCATGTGATGGTGGGTTGGCATCAACAAGGTCAGATTCCGGTGAGTTAAGTAATATTGCGGTGTCTGAGGTCTGGATCCGTGATTGAAATAATTGGGATCGCATCGGGAGTCGATGGATTGTCTATTGACTTCAGTGTCGAAAGGTTGAGTGTCATTGTATTGACATTTGTGGCTCAATGTTGATGGAGGCAGCATGTCCATGGGGATTTGTTGGTGTCAAGGATTTTTGATATTGAGAGATGTCATCTGAGTGTCCATGGACATTGTTTGATATGGTTGAACATTGGTGTTAAACTCAGGGTCATAGTGATGTTGAGTTTGATGGCTTGGTTCTATCGGGCGACGGAAATTGTGCGTCGATAGAGGGACAGAACGAGTGTCCATGGACCAGGATGGATATCGAAGATCATTGATATCAGAGCCTGTGTCTCAGTGATGTCAAAACGGAGGTTGCTGACGAGCTGGTAAAGCCGTGGAGTATGTAGACGCTGGAGATGCCGAGCGAGAGGAATGATTTCCCTCGTCTGGATTAATAGGAAAATATTGGGAGGCTGGAGCTGTAAAAGCCTTACGTGTAGAAGGAAATTGCTCGACCGTCCTGGGTGTTTTAGGTGCCAGGTAGGGAGCAGGTTGGAGCTGATGTGGGTCATGGTGATATGGCCGTTTCGACACTGATCACTGAGATCAAGACCCGCCATGAGAAGGTACAGCCGAGCTGGATAGAGCAACTGGCTGATTGGCGGTTGCAGTTTGTCCGGTCGAGCACTGGTCGGGGCAAATGGCAACCCGGTGAGAGTGCTGAACGTGGGTCTAAGCCATGCATGATGAAATAGATGGCTCCAGGGACTGTTGGGGCCTATGTCACTGAGGAGGTTGTGGTGGACGATCTCAGATGTTACGGTATGGTCTCTAGTTGTTGTTCGGAGTTGACCCTGTCAGGTGAAGCAACTACGGAAGGGTTGCTCAAAAGAACAGAGTGTTGAGGACTGGGAGGAGAAGATGTTAATCGATCGACTCTGTCATCCCATTCCAGTGATTGGGAGCAAGGTTGATGAGTCAGAAGGCAAACCAATAGAGATTGATTTGGCGGTTTGTTGAGGATGCTGAGAAATGACTGCAGCTTTAAATTTATGCTGTTTCGGTCTTTTAGGTGGAGAAGGCTCTGGAACTGAAGAGGCTTTGGTGGACATTTGATATTTAATGGAGGGCTTGGATATCAAGAATTTTGATATCTAGCACTTCGATTTATGGGTTTTTGAAGTTTTAGACGAAGTGGACAGAGCATCGGAGTGGGATGGTGTGATCGATGGGTGCTCTTTTGAGGCTTCAGAAAGAGCCTTGTCCATTGCTTTGGTTTGTGAGGTGGCCTTACAAGGAGGTCGGGCCATTTTGGTTGTTCCCAAAGAGAGTTCTAAGCGAGAATGGAGGACTCCACGCTTGAAGTTCTTACAATGCTGGTAGGAGAACGTCTGGTGTCCCTCTCCCAAGCAAAAAAGACACTTGGTGTTGTCATCGGAGAATGGTATTTTGTTATCACAGACCAAGTGTTTAAATGGGCCCAAAGAGGCCATGAATAGGAGAAAATAATTTGAGGAGACAAAAATGATGATTGGGGGGGGCGGTGAAGGAGAAAATCTCAGATAATGAATTTGATCTAAAAGTTCAAAGGAAAAAAGATTGATAACGGGAAGAATAAGAATATAAGAACAAGAATAAACTCTCGAATAAGAATATAAGAATATAAGAACAAGAATAAACTCTCTTTCTCTTTTACTCACAGAAGCAGAACTACAGTGGTGCCCCGCAATACGATGACCAAACAGTACGACGAAACCGCAGTACAACTTTTTTGCGATCGCTATAGTGATTGCAAAACGACAGTACGAAGAAACCGCAGTACAAACTTTTTTGCGATCGCTATAGTGATTGCAAAACGATGGTTCCTATGGGGGAAATCTGCTTTATGATGATTAGGTCCTTGCTCCGTGAACCGTTTGTTCGCTAAATGACTATTTTTCTGGCTCCACAAAATGGCTCCCTTCGCAAAATGGCTGGCTTCCCTTTGCAAAATGGGTTCTCTATGGCCATCTTCGCTGGACGACGAGGTATTTAGATAGGAATTTTAAACAGCTGATCGGCGGTTCTCTATGGGCCATCTTCGCTGGACGACGAGGTATTTCTCCATTGGAACGCATTAACTGGTTTTCAATGCATTCCAATGGGGATTTTTTCGCATGATGACGATTTCGCTGTACAGCGATTTTCCTGGAACGGATTATCGTCGTCATGCGAGGCACCACTGTATGAGGCTCTCAATGCGGCGGTTGAAAAAAAAACTGAAAGGGGAGCCTTGGTGCCAACGTACTTATACGAGGGGGAGGGGCCTTATTCTAATGTGGTTTTGGCTACTGCAGAAGCTCTAGAACTTTCTGCACAGGCATGGATCACTCAAGGTGTGATTCACAGAGGCCACGAAGAAGAACCTACTTTACAGGTGGTTGTGGTGATGAAAAGGGGCGAGGGCGAAGATGACCATATTATGTTATCCTGAACTTTTATGGAAGAAGAGATAAAAATACACAATGTATGCAAACAAAGCTTCTAATTCATCCAGTCAAACCTCAACCCATTCAGTGACTGAAATCCCATTGTTTAGTATAAGAAAACTTGTACCTTCCCTTCCCTTTCAGCCTGTTCCTAACCAGCAAATGACGTTCCCACTGTGACTCTTGGGGCAGAACTGCGGACATGCACCAAGCCAGCATCCACGTGAGAATCGCAGAGAATCACAGTGGGAACTCTTTATTTGCCAGTTAGAAACAGACTGAAAATTACAGTTTTTCTTACGCTAAGTTCACATGTTAGATGTAAATGTTTATTTGTAATAGTTGTAAGTGTAGAGAGGACACAAGGTACATCTGTATGGTTTTGTTGGCTGCAGGATTCCAAGGGCTATAGCTTTAAAAAAGTAACTTTTCCAAGCTTTGCTTTTGTTAGCACACCCCACCCTCATCTTCATTATAAATTAAAGCTTTCCCACTCCATCCCTTCCTTCTGTGATGGTGTCCAGAATTCTTTATTTTAGGAGAACGGCAATGCCCACAATTGGCCCAGGTCCAGCCTGGAATATCTTACCTTCTGAACAGACAAAGCACCAGCTAACGTTAACATGCTCATGGTTTCTGCAGCCCCTTCGAGGAGTAAAATGATTTGGGCAGATCATGCTGTTGGATGCAAGGATCACTGTGCCAGCGGCAAGGCAGAAATCATTGGAGTGATATGCAACAGGACATCGAACACAACGCATCAAGCGGCCTGGTGCAAAAGAAATCAAAATTTCATTAAAAAAATATGAAAATTGTTATCAAGTTTTTTAAAGTGTAGTAAGTAGGGTGTTCAAACCTACCTTTAGAACATCCCAAACACTCAACAATAGGACAAATCCCAAAGAATGATACCACTAATGAACATAAAGGAGAAAACTTTCTTCCAGTAGGGGCAGATAAGAAGGACTGTACCTTTAGATGCAGAGACGTTCGCTGGATTAGCTGCGTGGCAAGTCATGCAGATGTGCAAAGAGCACCGAAAGCCCTTGTTCTGCATGACGGTGGGAGGATACTTCTGTATGCACTCTTCATGGTAGTATTTCCCACACAAGGGAAGCAAGCAACGCTTCACATTTTCTCCACTTTTCTTACATACAAAGCAGGTATGGACCCCTAGAATACAGGGCATGAGGAAGAAACAGTCAAATTACAGAAAGAAGACGAAGTCCTAAGAAGCAGCAAAGCACAAAGTTTAAATAAGCGGGTGTCCTGGTGGAAGGCAACAACACAGAAGATCCACACTGCAGAATGTGGAAATTGTGTTGTTGTTTTATTACAAGCACGGCCAGTATCCACAGGGAACTCCCAAGATTTGTGGCGGCTGCTGTCAAGTTGCTTCCATTTGACTACTGGATAGCCCAGTTCTACAGTTCTAAGATAATTATTAATGGTAGTCGTATAAGTTAGTGACCTCGAAAAAGTCTTATCATTATCAGCCCTACAGGCCTTGCAAACTAAAGCAGTGGAGTCCAAAACAAAACAAAAGTTGTTCACACTGGGCACGGCATATGCTCCAAACAGCAAAACCATTTGTATGAGCATTCTCTCTGTCTCTGTCTCTGTCTCTGTCTCTCTCTCTCACACACACACACATCCATCTCTAACCTGTGGAACACTCAGTGCAGATAAACTTGCCCTTTGGCATTTCGGAGAGCCCAAGGCACTGCAGGTGGAAAGCACCACAACACTGAGCTTCACACAGTAGCAGCTCGCCTGGCTTTTCACAGATCTGTGAGGAAAAGGAACAGAGGTGTCATCAAAAAACTGAAACGTAAAAGGAAAACAACAAAAATCCCTGCTTATACATACATTCAGAACCCTCACTGAAACTAGTATCTTTCAGTAACAGTAACATCAGCTAAGCATATGCCTACATTCTGTAGCACTCTCCACTGTCCAAATATTCTGACCATTCATTTCCTTTCCTGAACCAACCCTCCGTGTCCCCCTCCACCCACAATGAAGGCACGTTTTGCTCTCACTTCCACTCCTGTACCCCACCCTAACCCTGGTCTCACCACAAAGCACCAGGATGGCCACACAAGCCTGAGCTCTTCAGGCAGAAAATATCTTTTTCAAAGTTAAAGAAACTCAAGTTCTGTTTGCAAAGCTTCATTCAAGGCAAAAGCGCAAGACAGAGCAGAACCACATTGCAGGCCAGCTCCACATGGGCCAAACTCATCTGCCCACCGACAGCCCAGCTGTTTCAAGTCACTCTCACAATTTACCAGCATGCAAGTCATGAATCTTGGACTTCTACCTGACACACGTTCTCCTTGAGGGCAGCTCCTCCACCTCGCTCCCCCTGCATTTTTTTGGATGAAGGCACTGCATGGTCATTTTCAGACCCTTCCTCAGTGGTCTCCTTGGAGCTTTCATTTGTCTCGTGAGTAGTCCTATTTCCCTTTAAAAAAATCAAAATATTGGACAGTGAAGATTCTCTCCTTAACCAGCCAATTCTTCTGGACTGCAGTTAGTTTTGCTATGAAAGACAGAGATGTTCTGCCAACCTGCTTGCTGAGCTGCACGCAATGGCTCTAACCCTAATCATTCTGCCTGCAGAAGGGGCCTCATGCTGTGGCGCTAACTCTCCTCACACTGCTCCATTTTAAGGTTCCACTGAAGGAAAGAAACATTTTGAACTGTAATACAAAACAGGAAATATGACTATTTTGCTATTCTACTGCAGCATTCAATCACACAACTATGCTATTGATTTCCACAGTCACCAATAACCCTCCTTGGTGTCTAATACATGATACAAATCACTGGCAAAGGAACACGTTCAAAGAAACTGGTTTAAATAAACATTTTGCTCTGATGGCCCACTGAGAGAATAGGGTGGGTTGTCAACATGACGAGAAGATAAATATATGAAACCTTGATTTACACCTTCTGTTGGTGCTAAATCTAGCAAAGAAATAAGCTGTGTGTTTCACTGTCTAAATAGCCAGTAAACATTCCTCTGGGGACCTCACAATGTATAATACTAATGGCCATCTAGGAGTTTCTGGAAAAACAGAGTTTCAGTTCCATGAGAACATTACAGAGCAGGAAACAACTTTTTCATTCAGAAAACAACTCTGAATGAAAGACACAGTCTGTGCTTTTGTGGAAATGTCCAAACTCAGAAAGTCCAAAACATGTCACTTCTGACTAAATCTGCTGTGCTGATGCTATAGCACTTCTGTGATGGTGCTTCCCTTTTCCTCCATCCTGCAGCCCTCCAGACTGCTACGAAGCTGGCTTCAAAGGATTTTCCAACCCCCTAAACAGATCTTTGAAGAGCGTGGGAGCATGGGAAGCTGCAGAAGGGATCCTCATCCAGGTTCTTAAATGTTCCCCCAGAACAGCTGGATCCCAAGTCTTCTTTTCCACTCCACAATAGAACTTCACCGGCCAGATTTAAAAAAAGTTATTAAAAGAAACATTCACGTAAGCTATCCTTTCCAAACTCCCTGGTTAAATTCAGTATTGTATCATCTAAAATGGGCTCCAGTAATAAGACTGGCTAACCAACATCCCCCAAAACAAACTCCAAGCTTACAAGAACCTTTAAAAGGAGGCATACAGACAGACATGATAGCCTTTGGGCAAAAGTCTCTGTCAATGAAGAAGTTCCTTGTATGCTTTTAGAAACATAACACAATAAACCCTTTCAGAGTTTCATGAAATAAAACTAGTGTAGCCTATCATTTCACAGAACCAACAGAGCCCCAAACTCTGCCCTACCTCAGAGTTTGAGGTTTCCCCCTGCATGTCTTCACCCTTGTCTTTTTTATACGGGGCTGCAGATAAAGTGCGCCGCTGTCGCTTTCGCTTCCTCTGTTTCCCAGAAAACGTTTCAGGAGCTGCAGCAAAGAAAACATTTTTTTCACGGCACTTCCAATATCTCTGCTCCTTAGATTTAAACATCAGAATTAGAAATGGTAATGAACCACCAGTTCAGCCTGGTTCCTTTATGCCACGACAGGTGTTTGGCAGTCCAGCACCCTGTCGGAGGGGGCAAGGTGCCAAAATGGCAAACACCCTGCTGCTGCGGTAAACGAACCAGGCCAAATCACTGTACTGGGGGGGGATCCATCTCTAACCAGAATTCATTGCTTTACCAACTTATACAGTGGTGCCTCACTTAATGATTACCTCGTTAAACAATGAATCTGCTTGACTATGAGGTTTTTGCGATTGCAAAATGATGTTTTCATGGGTAAAATTCGCTTAACGATGACCGGTTCCCTGCTTCGGGAACCAATTTTTCACTTAACGATGGTCTGAAAACCGGCGGCTCTCAAAATGGCTGCCTGCTGTGCAAAATGGCTTCCCGCTGTTTTTAGGACTGATTTTTCGCAAGAGAGGCATTGGAAATGGCCGCCCTATGGAGGATCTTCGCTTTACAATGAAGTATTTCGCCCATTAGAACGCATTAACCAGTTTCTAATGCATTCTAATGGGCTTTTTACTTTCGCTTGACAACAATTTCGCTCTACAGCGATTTCGCTGGAAGAGATTAACGTTGTCAAGTGAGGCACCACTGTACAAGTAAGTGGGACATATTATAACCAATTTTATCTTTTCACGCCACTTAGTGGTAAATCGCTACAAGCCTTGCACATTGACTTCAAAAAGTATAGATTAAAAATGTCATCTTGTATTCAGCACATCTGCACTAAAACAAGAAACACGACACCTCATTGTCTTATTAATCAAACACCATGCACTGGAAAAAGCATCACTTAGTTCATAAGCAAGTTCAGTCTAGGTATACCTTTGGATGCTACACAAAGAAACAGGGCATGTCTAGAAAATACAGCAAGTTGCTCATCCTCATGATGGAAGACGTGACCAACAACAGCTAAAAAATTCAGAATGTCAAGCTAAAAGAGATGTTTGGATCTTGCATGATAATTTACTCCTAATATTTGAACTATTTTTGATAAGATCTATTTCCTGTATTTTCACACTAGGGAAGTCTCCTACACCTATCACTAGCTTTAAAATTACAGGTAACAATGTCAACACTCGAAAGTCAGTTCAATTTAATGAGAAAAAAACATAGCTGCTTTCCCCCCTCTTTTTTTGATGCAGATTTCATATAAGACAGGGTAGGCACAAAGATATTGGTTCATAACTGTAACGTTCAGCCCTGCCCTCACCTGTCCATCACAGCTGGGTAGTGGAACAGCAGCCAATGAGGGGACGGAAGGTGGTGCTAAAGGGGGAGGAGCTGGGATATAAAGGGGTGTGTATGGGGTTTTGATAGATAGAGATTAGAGCTTGTGCTGAGGGTTTAAAGTGATTGTTAGTGATAGTGAGTGAGAGAGCCTGTCAGTGTGAAATAGTCTGAGAGCCAGTGATTTATTTACAGTGATTGATTAATTGATTCTTTACCAGGGATTTACCATTTTTATTTTTGTAATCAATAAACCTGTTTTTGTTTTAAAAGATATACTTGTCCTTTTATGATTTTTTTTAAAGGATAAGTTGGTGGCAGCAGAGTTTTAAAGTAAAGTAGCAACCACTCTCTGAGGTTTGAGGGTGGCTGTTACAATAACCTATTTAGGAGATTATTATACAGTACTTAGGAATAATGGATGGAAATTTTGTTGCATTTTTACACATGCAGAAAGCAAACAGTGTCACACTCACCGGCTACTATCTGACAATTAAGAAGTTCCCACTGGGATTCCTGAGCATTCATTGAGTCAGTATGTGCTTGTGCTTCCAGGATTTGCAATCACAGGTAATTAATTGCCAGACACAGGTGAGTGCATGTTATGCTGTTTCCCTTCCACATGCGTAACAAAGCAACTGATTCACTCATAAGAATCTGCTCACTTTTTTCTAAAGGACACAAGGCCCACCTACCTTCACCACCATCCAGAGGATGAGATGTTGGACAAAGATCAGATATTTCAGTATCCAAAGGACCAGCCTCGGAACACTGCAGATAAGTAACACAGATAATTTAACAAGCAGATCTACATACCTAAAAGGAAGGGCACATCCCTAACCTCATCTCAGCTGTAGTTCTACTTCAGCACATTTACAAATAATAATTATAAGCAGTTCCTCAGATTACAATAATGGGAGGAAGAATGACAAAAAGCATGGGGAATCATATTAACTTGTCATTGTTAAGGAAAATCTCTGTACAGCTGAAGCACAAAGAAAAAACACATAAATTTCACACAACAGTAAAATACTAAAAAGCTTGGTGAGGTCCTTCCATGAATGTAATGCAATATCTTGCTTTCACATTTAACACCACTAATATACTTGAAACAGAAGAACACATAATTAAGGCTGCAGCAAAAAAATGGCAATTAAGCCATACAACACAGATTTCAGCCAATAGTTTGAGACTGTGATATTTTACAGACTATCTCTTTCTGTATCTGCTCAGTGACTGGTCTTGGTATCTGGAGCGACGGTGATAGCCCACTGCCCTTTGAAGTGCAGCAGAAGAGAATGTGGGACAGAACTTTCGGTTGTGGCACCAAGTTTGTGAGAAATTCTTCCTTTAACAGAACATTTGTCTCATGCACTATCTCACACTTCACATATAGGGAAGTGGTTGGCGGCTTTAAAAGGTGGTTTAAAATAACACCTTTATCTGAACTGTTTTTATTGCAAAGATTATGGCTGCTTTGTTGGAAAGTTTTTGGCTGATTTACCTACATTTCCTGAGTCTGTTTTCACTATAAAAATGTAGTGCTTGATTTTTAGTAACTGTTTGAATTTTCAATATTGTGTGGCACCTTAAAGGTCATTAAAAGGAAAGCAACATGTATGTTTTAATAAACCTTGCAATATTGTATCAGACACTACCATTTTAATGTTACTGCAAGTGAATCAAGCTAAATACAACTTTAATGAAATGTACATACTCTGTGATGTATTGTCCATGCCATAAATGTGGGAGACTACAGAACAAACTAGAAGAAGGGTAATACTGATGTCTGTGTTCCAAGACAGCCAAAATAAGATGGTGCTATTAAGTTCAACAAACCTGAGTAACTTCTACAAATCTTGCGTTGTTATCTGGAGATGTTTTAGGTAAATTGATTATAATCTGATTATCATAACAATCATATCTAACAGAAAGTGTTCTTTCTCCAATAATGGGAAAGTTTTTTAAAATGACATCTACTCTTGTTTTCCAGAAGTAGCTTTCTGTAATCTCATGTTTTAAAAAACAAAACAAAAACAAACCACATATGCAGAAGGGGAAGAACGAGATGAAAAACAGATTTTGCATGTCAGAGGCTTTCTACCCTCTACATGAAACAAAAACATTATCAGGTTTTTTTGTGTGTTTTGGTTTTCCAATGAAAACTTTACATACCATGCTTTCAATTATCCTGCATGGAATCCTGCTAGCTGCCATGCATTAATCACATGAAAGATACTGAAAAATCCATTCTACTTTCAAGGACATGCAAATCATATTCTCAGTAAGATTGGGAAGCCGAAAGAAAGAACTTGCCTTCTTTATGGAAGTCCACTCCCTCTTTGGTATAAAGGTCGTATCCAAATCATTGGATTCCAAGAGCTTTTTAGTTGGTTTCCTCTGCCGTTTGCTCTCAAAGCTCCCTACAATGAAGATGCAAGTATGGCATTTGTCCCTCTGGAAACATGCTCGTTTATTAAATAACACTGAAAACAGTAACAATATAATTTGGTACACCTGATCTTCTCATTCATGATACACAGCTGTAGCCTATGACTCCCGAATGGTCCGTGCTTCATATTGTTGCAATGAAGAATAATGAAGTAATATCAAACATGATCTTCTGTTTTTTCAACATGGTCTTTTGCGTTCCATTCCATAATAGAACACAGAGTCACATCCATACATACTGTGGAATATCACTATACTGGTGTTCCCAGCATAACATCTACAAACAAAACTAGTATGAACATATGGAATATCCATGAAGGCAGATCCTGTTGTTGAACCTCAGAAAGAATCTGGACACAGATCTCCATTTTGTGAGTGAAACTCACAAAAAGAAGTGAACAGATATTTGAAAATATACATCAGAGCTTTATTAATGTTAAAACTGTTATTTCTGAGCAGGAAGAGAAGCAAACTGATACATTCAAATATTTTAGGCATGTTTTGAAAGTAATATATTATTTTCAAATTACTATTTTTAGAAGATTAGATACATGTTTGCTTTTCCTTCTGATTGGAAAGAATGTATTAGTATTAATATGTTACTTATAAAACTGTTACTCTTGCATTAGAGTAACAGTTTTATAAGTAACATATTAATACTAATATATTCTTTCTAATCTCTCATATATATACACAAGAAGAGAAAGAAACCCACATAGATTTTATTAGAACTAGGTATAGGAGAGACTTAACAAAAAGTCTCATACATAATATGCCAATGGAAGCCCTATACCTGACCAAGGGAGTTTTTTAAAGGGAGCATTTATTCTGTGTTTTGTGTTTTTAATATTGTTCTTATCATGGGTTTTAATATGATACATGTTTAATGCTTTTAAAATATTGTAATAATTTATCACCATGTTTCCCCGAAAATAAGAGAGGGTCGTATATTAATTTTTGCTCCAAAAATGCAGTAGGGCTTATTTTCAGGGGATGTTTTATTTATTTTTTTTATGTACTACAATCTACATTTATTCAAATACAGTCATGTCATATTCTTCTGGTTGCAGAAAAACGCAGAGTGGTGGAGGGCAGCGTTTCACTTAACTAGGGCTTATTTTTGGGGTTGTCGTTTAGTCGTTTAGTCGTGTCCGACTCTTCATGACCCCATGGACCAGAGCACGCCAGGCCCTCCTATCTTCTACTGCCTCCCGGAGTTGTGTCAAATTCATGTTGGTTGCTTCGCAGACACTGTCCAGCCATCTCATCCTCAGTCGTCCCCTTCTCCTCTTGCCATCACACTTTCCTAACATCAGGGTCTTTTCCAGGGAGTCTTTTCTTCTCATGAGATGGCCAAAGTACTGGAGCCTCAGCTTCAGGATCTGTCCTTCCAGTGAGCACTCAGGGTTGATTTCCTTTAGAATTGATAGGTTTTTTCTCCTTGCAGTCCAGGGGATTCTCAAGAGTCTCCTCCAGCACCACAATTCAAAGGCATCAATTCTTCGGCGGTCTGCTTTCTTTATGGTCCAGCTCTCACTTCCATACATCACGACAGGAAAAACCATAGCTTTGACTATTCGGACTTTTGTTGGCAAGGTAATATCTCTGCTTTTTAAGATGCTGTCAAGATTTGTCATCACTTGACAGCATCTTAAAAAGCAGAGACATTTTTTGGGGTAGGGCTTATATTACGAGCTACCTGAAAAATCATACTAGGGCTTATTTTCAGGGTAGGTCTTATTTTTGGGGAAACAGGGTATTTGACTTTAACTTTGTTTCCTTAAATGTTGTAAGCCGCCTTGGAACCTTTAGGAGAAAAGTGGCGTATAAATAAAATAAAATAAAATAAAAACACCAATTTACAGTAATCACATGGTCTTACCTGATATCATTAACTGCTCCTCTCCCTGTGAAGGAGGAGGAGGAGGAGTGACCGTAGTAGCAGCTTGCAACACATTTGGTGATGACAATGTCAAAACTGGCATTTCTGATCTTGGTTCTAGGCAATGGGAGTCAGGTTCATCCAAGAGAGAACCCTCTGCTTCAAGAACTGGAGGAGATTCTTTAGACGAAGAAGCAGATGAAACTGAGTCTAAAGGCTTCTTTTCTAGATCACTATCATGAGCTTGGTCGGGGCTGCATACATGTTTGGTTTCAGACTTCTCTAAAGAACTTGCCTATTAGCAACCACACACAAAACAAAATAAAAAGTAAGATATTGGTGAAACTTAGGCAATCAAAGAATGTAAATGATGAGCGCAGCCACTGAGAGACCTAACAACATTTCTGCAGCACATGAAAACCAATAAAATTAAAGTCTGGCTCTGTGAAGAATGATACATGTTTGATACATTTACATGATACATGTTTCAGCGATTATATTGCTCATCTGAGCACCAGTTTTTAAAGAAGCACCAATCCTGGTTGCACTATACATTAGACCCACCACTAGCAGGATATTGGCCCTAATTTTTTCAAAAGCTATCTGTCTATCTAAGAAGTTTATGAAAATCCTACTTAGATAATGTTTTTATAATTTTTTTTACATCACTGTATTTGAAGTCAATTTTGCCATGGTTACACCTACCTTCCGAAATGGTTCCTGGCTCCTCTTTTTCTTCTTAGGTGCAAATATATGATCATACTCTTCTGCATATTCCAGAAGCCGCTTGCTTGGCTTTCTAAGGCGTTTTTTCTCTGAATGTGCAACTGACAAAAAGGAGAAACAGCTTCAGGGTTAGTCTCCAGAGAAGAGCAGAAATGTTGGAAGAGAATCCTTCATTATGACCTGGTTCAGGACTTACATTTGTTAGCAAAGTGTTTTATTTTCATCAACCTTTTCTTGCTCTGTTGTTCAAAACCAATTATTGCCCCCCTAATGTTCTGTTTAGGGTACTCGTAGACATACAGACTGCCTCCCCCCTCACTTGCCCTAATTCATACAAACTCTACAATCCACAATGCAGAATCACACATAACCTCCTCATTGCTACCAAACCCTGGAAAGCAAGTCATCTGTAAACCCCTGCTGTCAGCATTTCTTGCTGGGCTGGCAATTTGGGAACTCTCATCCAGGGATCGAATGCAACACCTCTGTGCTGTAAATTGCACCTGGACATAACTAGCAGTGCTATGTCTAAATCAAAATGGAAGACTGAATAGCCCTTTGGGGAAAAAACAGATACAGGTTAGAAGCTATGGCTCCAAGAATCCCCACTTGTGGTTGAAGCAGGAATTCTGTCCTAACTGAGCAACCGTTTCTGAACGTAACATATTTGTATGGCTTCCTTCCTGGGGATTGATGCAGGAATTCTGTCCTAACTTAACATATTTGTATGGCTTCCTTCCTGGGGTACTTTGCCATCATTCATTGTTAAAGACAGAAAAAAAACAGCACCACTATTACTATTCTCTTTCCCTTTTTAAATAGTTTCAAAAAATATAATCCTAACATATGGGGGTTCCACAAACGATTGTGTTACAAATATCTTATTATTAAACGTCTAGTTCTCCCATCTCCCATTCCCAAACTTTGGTTTAGTTATCACAAACATGAAAAATGTCAAAGCAAAGAACTGAAACAATTAACACTGTAAACAAAATAGAAGAGAAAACACAAAAGGCAAAGTTGTCTTAACTAACACAATGCTGGAAATCCAGTAGTAAGCCTCATTTACAGTAAAGTTCCTTGAACCAATGGAACTCACAAAGCAGATGATTCACTAAATCCTCACTGATTCAATGGGCCTATTTTAGTTGCAATTTACTACTAGATTTCAGCTGGTATGAAAACAGCTGCAAAAACTGAACTGCTTCTAGAGATAAAAGGCTTAAATTCAGTAAATGTTAAGTAGTGTACCTTTCAAATACATACATGTACACAATGGAATACACTGAGGATGCCCCTTTCATAAACATCAGAGTGATATCAAGCCGAATGACCCATTAGAAACAAACATTTTTCACAAATTCCTCCTGGCTCTTTAGGCAGGCTTTCCCTCCTGTCATCACTTGAATTTCTTTTTCCTTTTCCCCATCTTGTGCCACATTACTACTGTAATATTGTTTTTTTTTAACTTTATTATATTGTTTTTACTCCATTTTTTATTGTTATCCACCCAGAGTTGACTTCTGTCTAGATGGGCGGGGTATAAATCTAATAAATAAATTTAGCTGCAGAAGCATTGCCCACATTACTCCAAAGGCTTCCCCTATCTCCCAGAGTAGATTTTCAGGGGGCACACAGAAGACTTTGAAAGGAAGTACCAAAAATCATTTCCCTGCTTCATCTCCAGCAATAGCATCCCATGTACAGAGACTGAGCACAAGAACTTTGGGTCCAAGCCAATGTATACGAAATACATTGTTATAATTCTATATGGCCATATATCTAATTTGATATATCTCAAATATCACTGCAGTCTCACACTTACCCACAAAACCTGGGTAACATTAAGAAGTATATTTAAAAGACCAGTGCCCCCCAAATAAGAAAAAGTACAATAATAAAACAGGAAGTTGGAAACTTATCTTTCACAAACAACTCCAAACAGGGTGAACCACCACCACCTACCATTTTGTGAATGACACTGCCACCCACAGGATAATCATGCGTTTAAAAATTAAAGAACTAAAAATGGAATTGCCAAGTTTATGGAAAGTAAGAATCAACCTTTTCTACTATTACAGCTCATGGTAAATCTTCTGTTCAGACCCATTTAATTTTGTGCTCAGTTTGGGTTCCAGTTATTTTCCACAGGGACACATGAACCTATACATATACATACACACACGTGTGTGTGTGTGTGTGTGTATGTGTGTGTGTTTGTATGTGTGTGTGTGTGTGTATGTATGTATGTACGTACGTATGTACAGTGGTGCCTTGACCTCCGAACTTAATTGGTTCCAAAACTCCAGTTGTAACTCAAAATGGTCGCAAGTCGAAGCACCATTTCCATAGGAATGCATTGAAATGTAATTAATCCATTCCGGCTGAAGAAAAAAAATCACTAAAAAACCCCCCAAACCCCACAACAGTGCAAGACCCAGCGGAAACGTGATTAATCCGTTATGGCCAAAGGGGAAAAAAGAGAAAAGAAAAGCAAACAAACCATGCAAGACCCATCAGAAATGCAAAAGAAGTGAAGCAGAATGCAAACAAACTGTGCAAGACCCTTCGGAAATGCAAAAGAAGCAAAGCAGAAAGCAAACAAACCGTGCAAGACCCATCGGAAATGCAAAAGAAACAGAGCAGAAAGCAAACAAGCCCCACAAGACCCATCGGAAATGCAAAAGAAGCAAAGCAGAAAGCAAACAAACCGTGCAAGACCCATCAGAAATGCAAAAGAAGTGAAGCAGAATGCAAACAAACTGTGCAAGACCCTTCGGAAATGCAAAAGAAGCAAAGCAGAAAGCAAACAAACCCCGCAAGACCCATTGGAAATGGGGAAAAAACAAAAAACAAACCCCGCAAAACTCATCGGAAATGGGGGGGAAATCACAATAAACAAAGACTGTAAGACCCATTACAGCATAGAAACATAACTCCCCCAGCCCAAAACTACGCTGCAAACCCCACCCAGAACAGTTTTTAAAAAGCAGAAAGCAGCACCTTACCTTACCAGACAGTCTGAAGCCACCTCCGTTGGCACTCTCTAACTGCTGGGGTGAAAGAGCTACAAAAAAGCAGCCTCTTCGCCACCGACGGTTAGCAATTTTAATTTCCCGCTCCGGGAAGCTCCGGCCGCAAGTTGAAGCAAAATTTTGTGGCTGGAGCTGGTCATAACTCGAAACGGTCGTATGTTGGGATGTTCGTAAGTTGAGGCACCACTGTATATATGTATACAGTGGTGCCTCACATAGCGAGGTTAATCCGTTCCGGATTAACCTTCACTATAGCGAAACATCGCTGAGCGGGACAGGGAAAGCCAGTGGAACGCATTAAACGTTGTTTAATGCGTTCCAATAGGCTCCTTTACGCACCGTTCAGCGAGGTTTCCTATGGTCGGCAGCCATTTTCGCGCCCTCGTTAAGCGAGGGGAGGGCGCGAAAACGCTGCGCGCGGCCATTACGGAGCTTCCGGCGGCCATTTTGTCCACCAAACAGCTGATCGTTGGGGCTTTGTTTTATTTATTTATTTATTTATTTATTTAATTTATATGCCGCCCACACTACCCAAAGGTCTCTGGGCGGCTTCGTAAAGCGATTTTCGGCCATAGGGGCCATCGGTAAGCGATCGCATTAGCGATCCAAAAAAATGGATCGCTATGCGATTTCGTCGTTATACGGTGCGCTCGTTAAGCGAGGCACCACTGTATATATATTTCTGCCTGCTGTTCTGCATGAACTGATACATATCCCAAATGACACATAGTAGGCAAATGAATCATCCCAATTAAGATAGATAATGATGAATGCTAAAGAATACCAACAAAGTTGCAAGCAAGGGACAAAGGGTATTTGTTACCCATGGGTCTGCAACCTTGGCAGGCATGGAGCCAAATTTGAGCCCCTCAGCCCTCTTCATGGGCTTATACCAGGCCTGGAAATGGTCATTTTTAACCTTAAAAAACAACAACAAAAAACTGAAAGAAGTGCAATTCCAGTTTTGTCCTCTAAGATGAAGGGCCTTAAAGGACTGCCACCCACCAGCTCTCCAATGTAAATGCCACCACTCTTGGAGGCTTTCAAGAATAGAAGGAGGGCATCACGGACCCCCAAGCTAGCCTCCTTAACATTCTTCCTTAAAACTGGTACAAAAATTATTTTTCCAAATAAGCACAAGAAATTTGGGGACACAGTAGTCTGTTCTAAGCTCTAAATTAAAAGTTCTACAAAAATAGGCCCCAACTAACATTTGCTTCAATATGCTTAACGTTTCCTAGCTTTTTGTACTATCATAGTGTTTGTAATTTATGTGTATGGCTCATGTACAATACTTGCTTTGTAAAGACAAAACAAACTCAGCAGAGATTAAAACCAAAAGCAAAGATAAGCTTAAAAATTAGTGCCAAAATGTATATGTGGTGAATGTAAGGGATAAAGGAAATTCTACCACTCAGTAACAGATTGACTATAATGACACTGAAACTAAAACACGGATTCATTTAAATAAGCAACATATATAAAGTTTTTAAAAATGGGATTCAACTGGTAAAACAGGAGGAAAGAAAGATTCAAGTGTGCACACTTTACCCCACAAGGGTAAACACCAGAATTTTGGTTAAACAAATAAAATTCTATTACCACCCAACAGGAGAATTGGTATCATCCTTTCCCAATTTTTTTTCTGAGTTTCTCCTGTGAAAGCTTCAATGCAATATGAATTCTAATGACAACAACTGGACCTCGTAAGGTAGGGAGGTGTGACCATAGTTTACTCACCAGGCATCAAACAATCTCCCGGTGTCCCAAATAGGCTCCCCAGGTTTCTAAAAGCAGCCCTCAACACACCTGATTTTTAAAACCAAATTTCTCAAAAAGGTTCATTGTTCCCTCTAAAAGGCATAGGACACAATTTTGCCCTAAGTCGGGAGGGGGTACTCTTCCCCCCCAAAAGACAAATGCTGCTGATTTTCTTTTTTTAAATGGGGCCACTAGAGAGTACAAGGGCCCTTTCTAGGATGGGAGCAAGGTTCCCTCTAAGATGCCTGCCTGCATGCAGGTGAGTCCGTTTCCCTCCACACAGCATTCCTCCTTCTCCACACAACCCGAGTGATAATTTCCGGCCCCTTTCATGCCAATCACAGTGGAACCCAGAGGAGGGGGCCAAGTGTCACGTGCACGAGGGGCAGAGCCCTTCCCCGGGAGGCTGAAAATTAGAGGAGAAATTGGGTAGGAGGGAGGGCAACTCTCCAAAACCAGGGTGGGCTCCAGCCTTGAAACCGCTGGAGGTGGCTCAACTCTGTCCCAAGGCCCAGTCCCTACAACTTGCAGATCAGAGGGTGGAAGAAATTATGAGCCATGTTATTCAGACGGCAACTGTAGGTTCACACATTATGGAACGTTCATACTAACACAGACATTATATCCTGTACATGGCAAAGCAGATGTGAGAAAGCCTTCCTTAGTTAACTAAATCGGAGAGTCATACTTAACCCTCTCCCCAGTTCTGGAGAGTCCTTATTCTATTCCCCTTATCAGACACAATGAGACACTGTTCCTCTAAGCACAAGTCATGCTGACATTTCTTTTGACTAAAGCCTCCTTTAATTTTCTCTGAAAGAGACATGAAAGGTCTGTGCCTCAACATTTTATTTTATTGACCAGAGGCAAAAGCCATCTATTAGGATGATTATTATTTCCCTAGATCTACTGAGGTGCTTACCAGCTTTAGCACTGCTTTGATTAAAGCGCTGCCATCTCTTTTTGGGTGCTGTGTGGCTTACATCTTTAGGCTCATCACCCAGGGACCCTTTTCTATTCCGTCCTGAATCCATCTCTAGGCACGCCCCCTTTGCAAAGGAGCTGTAGCTCTCTCTTTTTTTATCAGATTCTGACTTCATTCTTACATGATCTAAACTGCCATCAGAGGAACTTGCCGAGTCTTCAACAGGGGAGGGTTCCACCAACTCCCACGGTACATTCCTTGAAATATCTTCCTTGGCATGGTCTAAAGCGCTAGCAGCTGAGCTTTGGAGAGCTCTATGCTGATGGGGCACACGCTCAGCTGTACTGGGCAACTGGCTTAGAGACTGGCCCTCTGATGCTGCTTTAGCTAGAAGGTTGGACAGTGGTTTAGGTTTGGGACAGCTGCGCCTTGAAGTGCAGTTTATCCCAGAAACAGTATTTGCGAGTTCCCTTTTTTTAGCACCAGCATCTATCAACTTGGTTGTGATACCATGTGAAAAAGAGGACTGACCTTCTTTGGGTTTCTGACACTCTGGTTCTTGAACACTATCTTGGTTTTTTCCTAAGGTGTGAGTAGTTCCCACAGTAGGCATAGATGTCAAATCACTTGGAGTGTTATTTCCAGCACTATCACTGCTGTTAGAACTTGGGAAAGAGACTATGTTCTGAGTAGTCATGATCTGCTTTTCTTTTGTCTTACTATCATGCATATCTTTCAACATCATTAATAAGGTGCTGAACTTATAATCAGGCTTAATAGGCAAATGATTCTGCCCAGAGACAGATGAAAAGAGTAAGGGTGTTGTGGTCTTAGGAGGTCCGCCGTCTTTACTGTCATCATTTAGAGAACCATATGACAGCTCCTTCAGTTCTGAAAGTACATGCTTCACAACTGCTGTCTCTATTTCAGCAGCATCAGAAGACTTTGCATTAGTGCTGTTCAGCAGTTTAGGGCCATCAACCTTTCCCCTTTTGGTAGCTGCATCTAACTGAGACCCATGAGAACCTTTGGTAGCAGGAAAGCAGCCGTCGGAGCTACGTTCATCTTCCTTAGGAGAGAAATCTCTCTCTGCAGCAGTTCCTTTATGCTTGCATTTTATACTTCTGAACTGAAGTTGTTTTGTATCCATTTGACTAGTAAACCCCTTACTTTGGAGTGTAGTGTGCTTATCTGTAAAGGAAAGATTGTCATTCCTGTAAGCTGAAGTGACCTCATCTGCAAAGGATGGCTTGCAGAACTCTTCTCCTCTTGCGTCAACGTGGGCATTCCTATCTAGAGGGCCCTCCAGAGATTTGCGGTTTTTACTGCCACTTTTTGAGACATGAGCAAAACGTTTAACATTTCTTTGTCCTGAAGACTGTTCCTTTCCTTTTTTATTTACAGAGTCACAATTTTTCAGGGCACTATAGGCAGCAGCTGCTGCTATGCTTTGGTCAAAGGAGTCTAGATCACAGGTACCATCATCTGACGAATCAGAGTCCATTTGTTTCCTCTCAGCTCCAGCATCAGTTGCAGGACGGTGCTGCTGTAGTTTTGAACTGCCCATGATGCCTGCTGCTGAGTTCTTCTTTTTCTTCAAATCTACTTTGGCTGTCTCCGGCTGGCCATCTCTATGAGATATCTCATGCTCTGTTTTCTTCAATTTAGTTTCAAACTGTCTTTCTCCAAAGGAGGAGAGCAGATAATTTTCCACAGTGCCTTTGGACCCCAATAAGCTCTTTGCTATTCTGCAAAGTTCGTGAGATGCTTGTTTATCAGGCAAATCCGCAGTGGTCATCTCTTTAGCTTCGCTCACTGGCACTTTTCCTCCGCTCTCTCTCTTGGACGCCTCCAGTTTGGTGCTATTTTTTCTTATTCTGGCCCTCTTCCTGTTGTCAGAGCTCTTCTTCATTCGTGATTTAGTGAACATCTTTCCCTTATCGTGGGTTGAATGTCTAGAGTCCGAGGCCAATGACTTCAAACACCCATTTAGCTGCTTGCTCTGTTCATTTAAGGAACCCTTTGTGTAAGATTCAATTAAATGGACATTCTTCTCCCTGTCTGTTTTGCTAGACGTCAGGATGCATTTTTGAGTACCATTTTGTTTCAGATATTCATTTGCAAGGCCAACGCTGATCTCCCATTTAGCCATAAATCTCTTAGGAACCTTAAAGTAAAAGAAAGGACAATATTAATTGCTAAATGGATACTTATAACACACAAAGGGATAATGTTGGGAAAATAAATTACGTGATCTTCTTTCACACAGTGTGACTGCAACACACAGTTAATTAGAGAACACAGGTAAAATCTGCCTTCAATTACCTATAACTTCAGTGTAAGTGTATTTCTCACCATCCACACATTCAAATACCTAGCTATGCACCTGGGCAAACCCAACTTCGAGACATTCTCAAGCCGAGCTTGTGAAGTAGGAAAAACTCTGTTCCCACCTTTATAGAAAATGCTCATTGTTCCTGCCTTTCGAGACTCAATTTCTGATTTGCCATAGCAACCCCATAATATGGAAGATAAGTAGTCAATACCTATAGGGTGTGTAAAAGTGAATTGTGTGAATGCACACATGACCACAATGAAATACAGAGTGGTATTCTTTATAATTCCACTCATCAGGACTATGATATTCCATTTGGATATTTGATGGTAGCATCTTGAAACCCGAAATCCAAATGCAAAACTAGCATCTAAGAAACCTGAAGACCTCAAGCTGGAGTCTAAGTTCTTACAATTGTTTCCATCTCTGTCCATCTTACCCACACATCCCAGGGCTCAAATTTCAACTTCCACCTACAGGGCCTTCAAACACATTCCATGTTGAGTGGATCATGCCTTAAGCTTCTGGACATCCAACAACAAACATATAAGAAAGGAAATTTATCCTGTCTATTGGCAAAATTACAGGAAAAAAGGGGAATGAGGAAGGAAAAAAATAAGGATAAAATATTGTGGTGCTTCAAAGACTAAGAAACATGATTGTTGTGGGTTTTCTGAGCTGTTTGGCTGTGTTCTTAAGGTTAAAACCTTAAGAACACAGCAAAACAGCCCAGAAAACCCACAATAACCATCAGATCCCAGCCGTGAAAGCCTTCGAGAATATACTAAGAAACATGTTTCAATGTGAGCTTTTCTGGATCAACACTGACTTCCACTTCTGTGTCTGAAGAAGTGGATTTTCGGTCCATGAAAGCTCACATTGTAACACATTTGTTAGTCTTTCAAATGCCACAATATTTTGTCCTTGGTTCTTTTTTTCTCCTTTAGCTTTGGGAACATGCTGAGGCAGACTAACACTGTTATTTCTCTGGTTATTACCTTGTGTCTATAACCTTTCTCTTTTTGTTTCCCTCTTCTCCGAAGGACAGGTAATTCTTCAAACTGATGCCTTCCTTCAAAGACAACAATAGCTTTTCCTACAACCCACGCTCTTTCAGATGGGTCTCCCAAGGCTTCCACGTAATACTCTCGATACGGTCTGCGATTGGAAACTAATGAAATGAAATTTATATGATTAGTATGTCCAGAAACAGAAGGTTATGAACTTCCGATTCAAACTCAAAGTACAAATACTCTCTTAACAAGGTTTAGTGAGTGGAACCTATGACAGAACACTGGAATGAATCCTCATTTTCCAACTGAAGTGTTCCTGTTCAGGGTTCCAGCCAGTCGTCCCACAAATTCTAGGAGTTTTTTTTACATACTTAAGAAAGCCAATTTGCTCTCTCACATTCAATTTTTGCCTCCTATAACTGCCACTTCGTTTACCTCAAGAGTGATGGAATGCTCAGTCCTCTTTGAGGTATTCATTTTTTAAAAAAAATAATGTATTCTACTCCTGTAAACCCCAGAAATCTTCAGAAAATGCTGATACTTCCTTCTTGCGCTTCTATTTTTGTCAGCATTTGCCATACAGTTTCACTCTCAGAAAATACAGGATTATACATTAAACTGGCCCTCCTCTTGAGATCCTGAAGACCACATTAAGCACCCTCCTCTTGAAATCCTGAAAATGGGCCCCCCAGTTTTGTCTGAGGCTGTTGGTTCTCTGAAACCACTGTAGCCTGTGCTTCATTTCATGCAAATATCAGAGGCTAAATTGAGTTCAGGAATTTTTATCTCAGGACAAATGACAACCTGTAAATATGACTGGAAGTACAGCTGGGGTACCAGTAGCCCACAGACTAGCCCTTAAAGCTCCCAAACAAGCTCATACACCATCTTCTGCCCTATCCGCAGCAGTTAGGATTAAAAGAGTCCATATGGAGCCAGAGGGAGGCTTTCCCCCCAGACTTAAGTACAACATACTGGGTGACCTGGCTGGACAGCTAGAGAGATAAGGCTTAATCTTATCCTCTTGAGATGTTGTCATTCCCTTCCATGTGCATGGTAACCAAGCCTGGAAAAAAATGGAAGGACTTTCTTTAAGTATGGCTGCAGGACAAGGCACACAATTTTGGAAGACACAGTAAGGCAAAAGGTAAGTCTTCCCTATATAGTTTACTCCTTCTAATCATGCCTATCAAGCAACCATTTAAAAAACCCAAAACACACAGTCAAGAAAGCAAGTCTGACTTATCGTAGAAGGGCATAATTTCAATGTGCTACTTTCGGGTAATTTTAAATATCTCTCCCCCAATTTCCTAACTATTTTGGTCAATAAACACTTAAAGCAGACTATTTGCAAAATAACATATTTGAATAACAGCCCAGAGTACTAACTTTCTAATTATGCAGTATAATTTGTATTACCTTTCATTTTTGTATGAGTATCTAACACGGGATCAACACAAATTTTACAGGGCCACCATGGACGTCGGTTGAATTTTGCCCATACAAGATCTCTGTCTTCATATTTTATTGGAGAAGGTTTCTTGCTGGTGCGACCCTTTGAAGAGAAACAAGAAAACTTCACTGACATTTGGGAATCTCCACATGGAAGGTGCATGAATGACGACATCTGCAAACTGTAATTGGCTCAGATCTGTTGACTGGTGGAGATGAGAGGCAAAGAGTATTCTTATTTTGTTTTTGGCATCAATGTTTTATTTCAACAATGATTGGAAACAAAAGTATTGCAAGCGGCCTTTCTTTTTAACAATCCTCTTGAAATTCAATAAGTTTTAAACAAATATAAAGATTTACAAACTATAAAATATGTTATTTTGTTATTGCTGTTTTGTGCTATCAAGTTGTGCTTCTAAGTATGAGTATGAGCCTCATGGCGCAGCAGTTAAATTGCTGTACTGGAGCCAAAACTATGCTTACAACCCAGGGTTCAATCCCAGGTCAAGGCAGCTGGCTCAAGCTTTACTCAGCCTTCCATCCTTCTGAGGACAATAAATTGAGTATTCAGCTCACTGACATCCAAGTTATACACCCGCAAAGTGGGTTCCCCACAGGAAAGTGCCCTTTAGTTAGCAGTTGGTTTGGGGAAACCCAATATTCACCAAACATGGGATGGATTGTAGAGGAGACTCATGGGAAGGTTCTCTGTGATTTTGGTGTCTCCAGGTGCCAGGTGGAAACTTTGTGGGTGTATAACTCAGACATCCGAAACCCAATCAACAAATCAAAAATGGCTAAAAATTCTTTGATTCATATTCATTGGGGGCATTGATTTGTATGAATACGAATGGATGGATTAGCAGTAAATGAATCTGGTGATTTGTTTTTCAGTTTGTGTCCATCTCTACTGAACAGCCATAATATATTAATTTCTCACCACAGATATTTTCTGATGAAGTTCAGTAACGTATGCATTATGTAGGGTTGTGGTTTTTTTGTTTGGTCTTTTCAGTTATAACCTTAGATCAATATTACAGCTTTTTTACACCATGTTCTTCCCTTCTGCCCCCTTCACACCGAATTTCCAATATTTGAAACTGCACATATGGGCATTTAAAAAAATATTTCAAATTTTATATTTATAAGGTAAGAGTCTTAGGAATTAACATTATATATAACTATCTCCACACACATATACACACATGCACAAACATCCACCCCCACACCAAGGTTCTACAACTACAAAATGTAGCTGAGTGTAGAATTTAACAGTAATATACTTATATTGTTGTTCTTATTATATTGTATATTTGTACATTTTTATATCTGTGGGTTGGGTGTGGTGTGGTGATGTTCCTGATGTTTATTTCACTGTTGAAAACCACCCAGAGTAGTGGCAAGGCCACTAGATGGAGTAGTACAGAAATTAAATGATTGATTGATTGACTGACTGTTTGACTGAATAAATAAATAGATAGATAGATAGATAAATAAACAAACAAACAGACAGACAGACAGACAGACAGACAGACAGACAGAGACAGACAGACAGACAGACAGATAGATAGATAGATAGATAGATAGATAGATAGATAGATAGATAGATAGATAGATAGATAGATAGATAGATAAATATTTTAACCATGAGTTACTACAAAACTTCAGGAAGAAATATCAAAGACTCTTACAACAGCATCAAAACTGTATTTTATCTGAAGCCTGGTTTTTCACAGGAAATGTCCTTGTCAGATGCATCCCACGCCCAATCCTAGATCACTGAAAATTGCTGCCGATGGAATACAGAAAAGCTACAGTATATATTTCTTAAACAAAATTTCACGGCATAAACCATCTTTTTTATACAAAATCACCTTCATTTAAGCCAGGCATGAAGATTATCATGGCTTCTGTTCTTAATACCAGCTAAGAACAGAAGACAAAAAAAACAAAAAAAACCCTAATCTATGCAGATTTTAAAGTCGTACATAGATAAACTTATTAACATTTCGAAAAGCTCCAAATGGGTTGTTTCAAAATTGAGTCAAGGTCTATGTTCAATAGGGGATGGGAAAAATTAAGATTTATTTCACTAACAAAATACTGCCTAACTTCCAACTGATCCCTGCAACACATCTTGATTTTGGAGCACAATCGTATGAAAACTTACTTGGGAGTAATACCAAAAGTGCTCATTCCCCAGAATACATGCATGGATTCAAGTTGCAAAACACACAGAGCATTTTATTCAATAAAGGTCTTTCTTTGGGGCCTGCTGAAATGTAGTATTTACATTTTAATTAGAAACACAAACAATTACAAAGGATTTTCACCATGTAAACTGCTAGCCTAAAGCAGAAATTCCATGATAGGAGTGTCCATTTTCTGTAGGATTATTCCTGTCATTTTTAAAAAAATGCTTTAATGCCATTTTCTTCCTTGCAGTTGGGGGGGGGGGAACCCACCAGTTTTCGGATATAGCATGTCTCAGTCCTTCCAAGCTATCACAGATCCTAGTCTTCATTTAAAGCGGAAATCATTTTTGCTCCCAAGACATTAGCACAGATAAGATAACTGAACAGACACTCTCCTACAGAGAGGTTCTTAACTCCTTAGTGAGGAACCTTTGGCCCTCCAGGTATTTTGGACTTCAGCTCCTAAAATCCCTTATCAGCAGCCATGCTGGGTGGAGCTGAGAGCTGGAGTCTCAAAACACCCGGAGAACCAAAGTGCTCTGCCACTAACCTTTAGATTCCCCATCTTGAATACACACCTTAACATGGCGAACGGATCTGAGTGTGTCAATGAAACTGAGAGCACTGCTGAAAGGAGACCGGGCTCCTACTATGAGCCTGGAATCCTAGAAGGGCCACCGAAGGCAGAATAGTCACAGCTGAGACACCACACTAAACAGGCGTTCACTCTCTTCAAGGGTGACGACCACAGCAGCAGAAGAGAATGAACAGGTCCAATGCTGCTGGGAGTGGCAGCTACTGGGCAGTAGCAATATCTGAAGATAACACTGGCAGAGGAGGCAACAACAATGACACTCAAGATAACTTTTTTTAGCACTGCACAGAAAGTGGCAATGGTAAACTACTTTCTTATCTTGAAACCCCTACAATCGGACAATCCAAAAAAGAAACATGAGATAGTGCTGGAAGATGAGGCTCCTAGGTCAGAAAGCACCCAATCAGCTGCTGGGGAAGAACAAAGGATACGAACAAATAGCGCTATCGCTAATGACACAACTAGATTAAAGCCAAAAGGATGTCTAGTGGCTGAGGTGCAAGGAAAGTCCAATGCTACACAACACATACCCTTGGCACATAGAACGTGAGAAGTATGAATCAAGGTAAATTGGAAATTGTAAAGCAAGAAACATAACATTTAAATATTGCAGTGTTTTTGTAAGTAAACCAAAGTGGCCTGAAATAGGACATTTTTAGACAAGCAACTACATGTTTTACTCTGGAAATAATAAAAATCAGAAGAAATTGAATGGCTCCAATACTGAGACAAAATATAGCCCATTCAGTTAGTGCAGTGGTCAGGGAACAGGGGTAGTCATAGCTATGGTTTTTCCTGTCGTGATGTATGGAAGTGAGAGCTGGACCATAAAGAAAGCAGACCGCCGAAGAATTGATGCCTTTGAATTGTGGTGCTGGAGGAGGCTCTTGAGAATCCTCTGGACTGCAAGGAGAACAAACCTATCCATTCTGAAGGAAATCAATCCTGAGTGCTCACTGGAAGGACAGATCCTGAAGCTGAGGCTCCAGTACTTTGGCCATCTAATGAGAAGAAAAGACTCCCTGGAAAAGACCCTGATGTTGGGAAAGTGTGATGGCAAGAGGAGAAGGGGACGACCGAGGATGAGATGGCTGGACAGTGTCTGCGAAGCAACCAACATGAACCTGACACAACTCCGGGAGGCAGTAGAAGACAGGAGGGCCTGGCGTGCTCTGGTCCATGGGGTCACGAAGAGTCGGACACGACTAAACGACTAAACACACACACACATGTAGAAAATGGATGTAGAAAATGGATGGATGGAGGGTGAGTGGGTGGACGTGTGTGTGTGTGTGTGTGTGTGAGAGAGAGAGAGAGAGAGAGAGAGACTGACTCAAAACTATGAAAAAAGGAACAGGCAAGGCTTGAATTAAGGCAGGAAAAAGGGTGGATTGATGGAGGGAGAGTGGGTGGATGTGTGTGTGTGTGTGTGTGTGTGTGTGAGAGAGAGAGAGAGAGAGAGAGAGAGAGACTGACTCAAAACTATGAAAAGAACAGGCAAGGCTTGAATTAAGGTAGGAAAAAAGGGCGGCTTCATCAAATCCTGTATCATTTCTGTCCTTTCAAATCAAGGGGGTAATGTTGGCTTATATAATTTTTTTTGGGGGGGTAAAAGGTACAAAAGTTCCCTGACCCCTGAATTAGAGGCTATAATGCAAGATTTGACCAAATAATACCCATCAGACTTCTGGGAAAACCCATCAACATAAACACAATTCAAGTCTATGCTCCAACTACAAATGCTGAAGAGGATTAAACTGAAAGCTTTTATGCAAGCATCTTGGGAGAAATTGATCACACATTAAAACAAGACATGCTTATACTTATAGGCAACTAGAAAGCAAAAAAAAAAAGGAAACAAAAGTGGTATCAAATTTTTGGTCCAGGGTTCAGAAACAAAGTAGAAGAACTCAAAGAGTTTTGTGAACCTAATACTTAGTTTATTACAAAACATGCTTTAATCAACTAAACACATAGGTGTACAAATGAGTATCAGAAGATGATTAATACAGAGATCAAATTGACTATGTACAGAGTTGCCTTGACTTACGAACACCTTGAACTACGAACAATTTGACTTATGAACAGCTCCGGCTGCAAAATTTTATTTTGACTTGTGGCCGGAACTTTGACTTACGAATGGAAAAAGGCAGGGGGGGAAAGGGCGTGAAATTCAAACCGTTGGTGGCAAAGAGGCTGCTTCTTTGTAACTCTTTCGCCCCAACAGTTAGAGCAGGAGGTTAGGGAACTTTTTTACTCCTGGTTCGTAAGTCAAGGCACTATTGTAATTGGAAGTAGGAAATGGAGAAGCTA